CAGCAAGTGCCTACTGCAGAGGCAATTGCTCTTGTAGTATGACGCCCTCTTTCCAGGCATGAGCCTTTCCTCGTAAAAAATCTCAAAAGCAAGTATTATCGATGTGGAGTGGAACTACATCCGCCGCGGACAGGCGCAGAAAATTGTTTTGCTACGAGGAACTCCACCTTCCTGCAGCTATCTCCTCACCCTCCCCGCACCCTCTCCCTTGAAGCGGAGCAGATAGCGCCGGAGGACATGGAGTGGAGGTACATCCGCGCGCATGCGATCGTGTCAGTTGACCTTCCCCTTGCACCTCCCCCCCCCCCCCCTCGTATTCACCCCGACAGATAGAGCCGGACGACATGGAGTGGAAGTACATCCGCGCGCAGGCGCAGGAGTTCGTGGGGGACCTGCAGGCGGCGCGCAAGGGCTTCCAGGACATCCTCAAAGTCGACCCCTTCTCCGCGCGCGCGCTCCAGGTGCGCCCCTGCTGCGCGTGTGTTTCATTTCCTCCCTCCTCCGTCACATCCGCGTTCCCTCATTTCTGTCGGCGCCTTTTGCCACCCCCTTCTGAAGTCCTTCCCAGCCCCTCGTCCCCGCCGTCCCCCACACTCCCTGGGTGAACACACTCTCTCGTTAGTCCACTTTCCGTCAAACGAAGGGCACACAAAACCCTCTCAAATGTCGCGCCTCAACCCTCCTCTACGCCACGTCTCTCTTGTCCCACCACGCCCATCCGCCATCTCTCCCCCTCCCCCTTCCCCCTTTCCCCGCACACCTTCCGCGTGCTGGAGCTGGGATTAGCAACGGTGATGCGGCGCAGCGGCGAGGACAGCCTGGTGTGGGGCATGGTGGAGGAGGCGGTGGGGAAGGTGGTGAGAAGTGACGCACCTAAGACTCTTTTTCCCTTCCCCCATTCCCCCCCTTTCCCCCTCGCGCAGGGCCTAGCAACGGTGATGCGGCGCAGCGGCGAGGACAGCCTGGTGTGGGGCATGGTGGAGGAGGCGGTGGGGAAGGTGGTGAGAAGTGACGCACCTAAGACTCTTTTTCCCTTCCCCCATTCCCCCCCTTTCCCCCTCGCGCAGGGCCTAGCAACGGTGATGCGGCGCAGCGGCGAGGACAGCCTGGTGCTGGGGATGGTGGAGGAGGCGGTGGGAAAGGCGGGGCAGGCGGGCAAGCAGCAGGAGGCCACCAACCTCAAGATGCTGCTGGGCCAGCTGCACGCGCTGCAGGTGTGTGTGGGGGCGCAGGGTTTTCTAAGTTTCTGGAAACTAGGGTGAGGGGCACAGGGTTGGGGGTTTGGAGGTTGTGGCAAGCAGCAGGAGGCCACCAACCTCAAGATGCTGCTGGGGCAGCTGCACGCGCTGCATGTGGGGGAAGGGAAGGGTGCAGGGGTGCAGACTGGGGGGTTGCGGGGATAGTGGTGGGGTGTCAGCGGGCTCAGGGTTGCGGGTTTTGAGCCCTTGGCAAGCAGCAGGAGGCTATGCTGCTGGGGCAGCTGCACGCGCTGCAGGTGGGGGAAGGGGGATCGTGAAGGGGAGGGATGAGAAGAGGGGGCAGGGAGGGAGGGGCGGAGGGGGAGGGGAGGGGTTTGTTTGTGGGGTGTTCGGGCTTGTGGATTATGGGCAGGGTTGGGGGTTTGGAGTCTGTGGCAAGCAGCAGCAGGCCCTCATTAGCTGCGACCCTTGCCCATTCTCATGCCAATTCACCTGCCATATCCTCTGCCCGTGCTATTCTCTTGCAATATGCTCTTCCTTTGCTCTCCGCCTTCCATAGCTGCCATACCTCCGCCGCATCCGCCCCGCCTTCTCATGCCATTCACCTGCCATATGCTCTGCCCGTGCTATTTTTTGCTCTCCCTTTTAGGGCAACGTGGAGGCAGCCATAGCGCAGTACGACGCCATCAGTGCAAGTGACCCGAGTGACTTCCGGCCGTACCTGTGCAAGGGGCTCGTGTTCTCCCTCATGGGCGACACCAAGCAGGCCGACGCACACTTCAAGGAGTTCCGCCGCCGCTGCCCCAAGAACTACGCCAGCTACCTGGATAACATGCTGGTTAAATCCACTGTGGAGGCGCGGCGGCAGGAGGTGAGGAGCGGTGGGGAGTTCTGAATGGTATGGTGAGCTGAGTTGGGCTGTGTGTGGTGAGGCCGCTGCCCCGAGAACCAAGCCAGCTACCGTGGATAGCATGCTGGTCAAGTCTCATGGCTGGAGCATGCTGCTGGTCAAGAGCGCCGCGCAGGCACGGCGGCAGGAGGTGCGTTGTGAGGTTGAGTGGTGAGTATTGAGGAGTGAGTGTGGGCTTTGGGTGGAGTCAGTTGCACATGCCATGGAGGGATGCACATGCCATGGGGGGGTGCACATCAATGGGGGATGGACAAAGGGGGGATGCACATGCCATAAGGGGATGCACCTACTTAGCCTCTCTGTGTTTTCGATCCCTTGCACGTTGCCATGCATGTGTGCCTTTCCCAATGTTCCTTCTTGTCTCTTTCTCCGCGTGTCTTGGCCGGGCGGGGTTGTGGTGCATGGGGCAGAGGGAGAAGCGGCAGCAGGTGGAGGCAGAGGCCAAGGGGCAGACAGTGCGCCCCATGAAGCAGCCCACATCCGGCGCTGGTTTCATGGGGTAGTGCTTCAACCAAGATTAACTTCAATATACAGTGGTGCTACCTTGCTGTTCTGAGGCTTCGGTGACATTATCTCTGGCCTGCATATACACGTAGCGTAAAAAACAGTGAGTGTAACATGCCTTACCAGTATGTTTGAGATAACATGCTTTGGCATCCTAGATGAAAAGTTAGTAGTGTACACAATAGATTAGAAGAATGTGTCTTGTTATTCTACAGTAGCAGTAATGTCCAAAAGTCGAGAGCTCAACGGCACAGCAGCACCCATCGCTTCCCTGTCGCTTCGGAATCTTCATCGCGATTTCCCCTTTTGTCGTATTGTGTGCTTTTAAAGAACGACATCCCGACGTTCTCTTCGCCAGCCCAGGTGGCTTTGGGCCGCCACGAAAACGTCAGAAACTGCCGTGCCCCGTATGGCGAATAACAATCAGTCGGGGGTTTGTAAGTCTTGTTATTTTGTGCCAGCCTATCTTGTCTGCTACCCATTGACAGTGGAGGTTTTGTCGCTTTTTCAGATGTAGAAGCCAGAAGTCAGCCATGTTCCTGATGATTTGTTTTCACCGCATGGGCAAAGGGCTGGGGCTGGGTGTGGGCAGGAGGAGGGGATGCTGGTGCGCAAAGGGGGAATGCAGCAGATGGGGTGGGGAGGTGACGAGAGAGATTTATGGAAATCGGGGTTATTTGCACCTGATTTCTCGCCGATTTTAACACCCCTGCATTGCAGGTCACCGCCCCCCTGAGAATTGAAAGGGTTTCTTAGACAAACATATTCAGTATATACTCCGGGAAGGAAGAGTGGCCTGTTGGGTGGGAAGTGAGGGTTCGGGGATCACAGTATGAAGCAATTCTGGGGACAGTGGATGCAAGAAAACGGCTTGAGGGTAGATTAGTACAGTGAGCTGCTGTATCCTATGGTAGGGTGGTGTTTGTTGAAATTGCTGGTCTGACTCAAAAATGAAACGCGCTATGTACTGTATACTGGGTGTAGGGTGTCCAAGCTGTGCCCAAATTGACAGAAATCGAGTTGAAAGTTTGCAAGCAGTCCGCCGCGCCACCTTCGCATTCGCACAGCAGTGCAGTTCACAACACGCGATGACGACGATGACTCGACTGGACACGACATGACACTGTGGCAGAGACCAGTGTGCGTGAGCACAGAAAGCAGCCAGCCACGTCACCCACCCACCCCCACCCTTTCCCTCCACTGGCTTCCTCCCTTCCTTCCCCATTTCCCAATCGCCGCGTGATTCGCATCGAACAGCAAAGTTGCCAGCTTTGGCGATGTTCGGCTGCCACAGGGGTTGGGGGGAGGGGATGGGATGGAGCATCAGAACGCCGAGCCTCCTGGTTCGATCTGTTCGAACCAGGCAGAACACTTCGGTCAGACATGAAAATTGTGAAAAAAGTGTCGGACGTGAGCCTAAAACGCGACGCGAACCCCGCGCTAGGCTTGAACCCGCGCCGCGTCCTCCCCCCGATTCCCCCCCACGGCGGAAAAACTCCGCCCCAACGACGGTTGACTCCGAGCTGACCACCCCGAACTAGAAACCCTAGCTGCAAATCTGATCCCTCCCCCCATCCCTCGGTCGATGCCCTGTGGCAGCCGAACATCGCCTTTGATTCCTCCTCGGCCTTTGCACGCTCACTTCTTCCCCCTCGCGTCATGGTTAGTTGTGCGAAGACGTGCATGAGCAATTTAGGGTTCGATATGTGATACTCGCTCAGGTTTGCCACTTCCTCACTCCCCACTTCTGCGTGTGGGGTGAATTTAGGGTCGGCTGGTCCGGCTCCAATTCTCCCGCCAGGTGGCATTTACGGCCGCAGTATATCTCATGGATACTTCAGATTCCCCCGGCTCTTCCGCGCCTCTCCCCGTTGCGCGGATCCCAGCAGCCCGCCGCTACCTCCGCCGCATCCGCTCCGCTGATAAACAGCGCCAGCAGCAGCAGGAGCAGCAGCGGGGTAAGATTTCCGCGCAATCTGCACAAAGAACAGACGGAAACTCTTCCCCATTCGCCGCCGCCGCCGCCGCCGACGCCGCCGCAGAATCCTCACAGTCGCAATTATTCACGCCGAGCCGCTTTAATATCTTCAGCAACGCAGCAGCGTCTCGCAAAGCCGCACCCGTAATCACCTTCGAAAGTATTTCCTCTGATAGCGTCACAGCAACAGCTAATCCGTTCGCGCCCCCGCACGGCTCAGTCTTCCCATCGCTGAACCGCCCAGCGTTCCAAGTAGACGGCAGCGCGCCGATATTTACCGCCGGAACAGCCGCCGCGTCGCGAGGAGAGGACGACGTTCGCCCGGCGACACCACCGACCCCCTTAACGACTTTCAATACCTCTGCGACTAGCGACGCGATTCCTGCGCGCGACAGTTGCGACAGAAGCGATGTCGCAGGAGCGTGTGAATTGTCGCTTTCGATCGTAACCGGGAGGTCGAGCCCGGGGGCGGCCAGATGTGAGAGAGGCAGCGAAGCGGGCGTTGCGGTCACAGAGGCGGAGACAAACGGTGCAGGTAGGTGCGCCGAAGGTGAAGATCGCAAGAGGGTTGGCGAAAGCGGAAACTGCGAGAGATCTGGGGAAAGCCGAAGCGGGGGAGTTAGAAGTACTGAAGCTGATAATAGGGAGGGTACATTTGGTGAAGGTAGTAGCGGAGAACGGAGGAGCGGAGAAGGGAGATCTGGTGAAGGTGGCGCATGCGAAACAGTATTCGGCGAATCTAGAGCTCGTGAAGATGAAGGGGTTAGCCGGGTAATTCATGCAGCGGCGGACGTGGGGCATGGCGGCGCGCAGCACGAGCGGCAAGAAGGGCAAGAGGGACGAGAGGGGCAAGAAGGGCTAGAGGGGCTAGAGCGGCAAGAGGGGCAATGGCGGGAGCATGACGAGGAGACGTGTGTAAGGGAGGGTGCGGTTACAATTAACTCGTTAGAAGGAAACTCGATGGATGATAGAGAGAGCGATGAGAGTGAGGAGAGTGAGGAGAGCGAGGAAGGAGACGAGGGGGAGGAGGACGATACTGGGAGTGAGTCGTCGGCTGCTCCCCAGCGGGCCCCTTCCCCCTCCCCTCCCCCGAACCTTAATCCCCTGGCGCTGCTCGCGCTCTCCCACGCGCCCTTCCCCTCCGCCTCGTCGGTCACCAGCACCACCTTTTCCGGCGGAACCAGCCCCACGCTCTCTTCCGCCGCCGCCGCGTCCTCCCGCTCCGCCGTCTCCCCGCCCACGTCCCCCTCCGCGCCCTCCGCTTTCCCCAATTTCTCTTTCGCTCCGCCCCAAGCCGCGCACCCGATTCCCCACCCGCGCCCGCCGTCGTCCGCGGTCGTGAACATGGCGTCGCTAACGGCTTCGCAGAAGTTCGCGAAGCTGCTCCAGCAGCTCGCGAAGCAGTCGGCGGAGCTGTCGGAGCTGCGCGGGGAGTTGGCGGACGCCAAGGCTGAAGTGGCGGAGATGCAGGCGGTACTGGCGAAGGCGGGGCTGGATTTTGTGCGCGAGCGCATGGAAAAGGAGCGTCTCGGGCAGGCCTGCGCAAAACTTAACAACGCGCTGCTCTCCTCGCGCCGCGAGACCGCGGACGAGCGCGAGCGGCGCGAGCTGGCGGAGCGGCTGGCGGTGGCGGCGGAGCTCGCGCGGAGGCAGCTGCTGGAGGAAATCACGCTGGAGCGCGCGCAACTCGCGCGCGCGGACAACTGGCGGGAGCACAACGTGCATTTAAAGCTGGTCGAGGCGCAGATGGTGGTGTCTGAAAAGGTGGCGATTCTAGAGGTGCTGCACGCGGAACTGGAGAAGAAGTTCCGCCAGGTGGGCGCGGGGAGGCTGTGGCGGGGGGAGGAGGAGCGCCCGTTCGGGTGGTTTCTGAAGTTTCTCAAGCAGCCCGAAGGCAAGGCGTGGGCTGTTGAGGGGCTTGGGGGTGAAGGAGAGGAGGGGGCACGGGTGGGGGATAAGGGAAAGGGGAAGGCGGAGGAGGGCGCTGCTGGTGCGGGTGATGCCATGCCTGGTGCTAGTTCTTCTAACGGGGCTGCTTCAAGCGAGGGTGATGCTCAGGAAGGGGATCGTAGGGGTGACAATAGTAGTGCGAGAGACAGTACTGAGAGTGACTCTGACGAATATGATAATGACAGGACTGGCGGTAGCTCTGACTCGCTCTCCGAGGCTGTCCCGCTGGTCAGTGGAGGCGGCGATGAGCTTCGGATTCCGAAGCTGCGGGACAGGTCCGGGAACGCAGGCGGAAACAGCAGCAGCAGCAGTGCGCGGATTCCGGGGCGGGGGGGAGGCAGCAGGTGCAGGTGGCGCGGCGATCGGCTGCTAGACACGGAGGAGCCCATGTTGCTGCAGGGGGGATACCACGGCTGTAGCGCGTGCGGCCATGGCAGGCCATCGGCTGTAGCGGCTGCAGCAGCACGCATGAGTAGTTTCTGTAGCAGCTGTGGCGGGCGAGGAGTTGGGAGTAGAACTAGTGGGGTGGGTGCTAATGTGAGCAGCAGTGTTGGGTCATTAGGTTTAGATGGGTGGCTTGATTTGTCTGCACTTGCATCTGTTTGCTCCCCCGAGTGGTTTGCTACAGCAGCAGCAGTCACTGTAGCGTCGGTGAACAGTGTTTTTGGTGGGGAACGGACGGCAATAGGCGGAGCAGCAGGGAGACGCGAGGGAAACCTCTTAGGCATGCAGTTACCCTTTTCGTCTTGTTTTGATTCGCAGTATGCGCTATCAGCCACGCACGATGATTTGAATGATGACGGTGATGATGATGATGCTACTGCCAGTGGTAGGAATGGCAGAGCAGCCAATGCAAGGCCCTGTGGCTGCATGCACCGTAGCAGGCTTGGCCCGAGGCAAGGCAACAGGTCTGGAGGGCCTTCTCTTGGCACGAGAGACGGTGGGATTGACGAAGGGTTCAGGGAGCAGGGCAAGGGCAAGGCGTCTGCTCTGTTGCCGCCCAAGCCGCAGCGTGCAGGCAGGGGAGTAGAGACAGGCAGTGCGGGAGGGAGAGGTTGTGGAGGAGGGGAGTACTGCCAGTGCTGTGGGCGCTGCTGTCGGTGCCCGATTGGAAATGGAGGTCGCTAGCTGCACCACCATAGACAGCAGTGTGATAGGATGATGCAAGATGAGGAAGCTTCAAACAAATGCTTGGTTATACTCTGGGCCGGGTGCTGAGTTTTAATACGCCATGCAAAATGGAGGGTGTGAATGAGACTGCAGAAGGAACGGGTCCTCGCTCAGGGGGATGTGGTGAGGGGGTGGAGGTGGGGGAGTGTACGAAGAATAACATGGAGCTTAAATCCGTCGTCATTACCTCTAAAAGTGTTTCCAGAACTTGAAATACGCATTTATTGCTTCAAACTCTCTTGAAGCCCAGGGCGTCCTAGGATACCGTATCACCCCGGATATAAGCGCAGGCCTATGTTAAGCGCATGCGCTTATATCTGGAGCAATGCGCTTATGGCCGATCCTCAATTATAAGTGTTGAAGAACGAGTTAACTAGAAGCTAGGGTTTTAGAGAGGCTTAGCAAGGAGAATCATGGAGGGAGGAGTTTGGCCAAAAGGAGGGCTTTGATATTAGGCAAGAGTACAAGATATAGGAGAAAGAAGAGAGAAGAAGAGGGTACACCACCAGCAGTTGATGGTAATAACTAAACTAATACACTAGCAAGCTATAGGCAGGTATAAGATATGCAATATCAATTAACACACCCCCGTAACTGCCTATGGCTATAGCTAGTGGTGTCTGGCACCAGGTCGCCTGGAGAGCAGTTGCTTGTAGCTGGGATATGCACAGAAACAGCGGTTGCTGAACGGCAGCACCTGTGAACGCCAGAACGGAGGAGGGCGCGGAGAGCGCGGAGGAGGGCTGGGATAGCCGGAGGGCGAAGGATGCTGGTCGCCCGCCATCTACGAGCAAACACAACTGTTGGTGAGGAGGAGGAAGCTGCTGGTGGTGCACAGGAGGATAGCGGAGGAGAGGCGGATGGAGGAGAGGAGATAGGAGGAGGAGATGGTGCCACGGAAGGTAGAGGGAGGAGGTGCGGCTGGAGGAGAGGAGATAGGAGGAGGAAAGGTGAAGAGAGGCGGTTGGAGGAGAGGAGAGAGGAGGGGCGGCTCTGGTCATACCCGCCACCCCCACACCTCTTCCCCCTCCCCCCCACTGCAGCACGGGCGGCAAGGGAAGAGAGGATGGGCGGGGGTGCTGGTGCTGCCAGCCAACTCACGCCACCCTTTTACCTTCGCCCCCCGGCCCCGCCACATCCCCCCCCCAAAGCAGATGTCGCGGGTGAGGCGTGGCAGGGCGCGGGTGTTGCTGCTGGGAGCTCACGGCGGCCAACCGCCCCACACCACGTCCCTAGCGGGTCTGCTGGCGCGCTGGCGGGTCCGGAGGCGCATCGGCGGACCGCTGGCAGGGCCGTTGGCAGGCTCCCTTGCGCGCTGACGAGTAGGCTGGCGCAGTCGCTGGCGCTGGTGTTGACACACGTCGCTGGCGCAGGCGGCCGTCGTTGGCGCTAGCGCTGGCGCTAACGCTGGCGACGGTCGCTGGCGCTGGCACTGGCGCTCACGACCAGCGAGCGGGCGACGAGGCTGCACATGCGCGGGAAGCTGCACGCGTGCGGCCGCGCGCGCGGCTGCTGATGCGCTCGTGACGGGACGGGGCGGGACAGCGCGAGGGGCGAGCAGTGAGTGGGGAGGGCATTGCGGGACGGGGCAGCCAGCACACGGTGTGCTAACGGGCTGCGCGACTGGTGGGCCCATGGTTCTTAGGTCCTAGGAAAGGACCTGCTCTGATACCATGTTGAAGAACGAGCTAACTAGAAGCTAGGGTTTTGGAGAGGCTTAGCAAGGAGAATCATGGAGGGAGGAGTTTGGCCAAAAGGAGGGCTTTGATATTAGGCAAGAGTACAAGATATACCGTCATCGACCGGATATAAGACATATATGTCTTATCTCATACACTAAAAAAAATGCTTGGGTTATCTTGTATTTGGGGAGGTTTTGGGTGTCTTATAAGTCTTATAAATGGAAACCTTTTTAAACTACTTCGAAATATTTTCACGCATCTTGAAAAGAGTTTCTCATTAAGAGTGTCGATGTTGCGAAGTTGCCACTTCGGCAACCATTGTTCGGAACGCCACGTCACCCCGAATACTTGCAGAGTCAAATTTGGTAGTATGTGACTCAGCACGTGGCAGAATTCGCGTGTCGCAAGGGTAAAAATGTACGCGGTATTTCAATTTTCACTATAATACATTGCAAGTTCGATTATAAGACACATATGTCTTATCTCGTACACACAAATAGGTGTCGTATAAAAAGGCTAGCCTGTTTATAAGAGACACCCGTATAGTAGACAACCCATGTCTACTATTCAACACTGTCTTATATCCGGGCGATGACGGTAGGAGAAGGAAGAGAGAAGAAGAGGGTACACCACCAGCAGTTGATGATAATAACTAAACTAATACACTAGCAAGCTATAGGCAGGTATAAGATATGCAATATCAATTAACAATAAGCGCACCCCTTATAAAACCCTGATTTATTATAAGCGCATGCATAAACATATTTAAAAAAAAACCGGATTAAAGCAGTAACGACTTCCCGGTTTGAAGCGAGTCCACATCCACTTCTACTCTGTTCGACTCCCTCGAGGGCGGGCTCACTCAGGAAAAGCGCAACGGCGCGAAGTTGACCTGACAGGGGGGCTCGGGAACACCTGTTGTCTGTGCGCTGCGAGCGAGCGACTGCAGGCTATTGGTCGTACACTGGGGCAAGCCTGTGCGATGCGAACGAGCGACGGCAAGCTATTGGTTCGTACACTCTGCTGGGGCGAGCATGACACATTCCTATGCGAAAGTGACGTGTCCTTGCCCTTGTGCGCCGGCAGAGAATCGCCCTCGCGCGATTCTGATTCAGAACGCTCCACACATTTCGATTTGAATGAAATTGCAAGACTCTAATGCACAGATTGGTGCGTTTACAACATATTTCTGTGTTTGTTCTGTGTTTGTTATTATATAAGCGCATGCGCTTATAATTTTGACTCATTTATAAGCGCACCCCCCTAAAAAACATTGTTTTATTATAAGCGCAGATGCGCTTATATCCTAGGTATTACGGTAATGAATACTGTGACCGTTAAGAATCAATGCAATGCAGCTGTACCCGCCTTTCCCTCTAGAGGATGATCTAACTATCATTGTAAGCTCTTGGCACAATTAATAGGAATGGTTTCTATGCATAGATACAGTAATAGCGTGGGCCCAAACGGGTTTGATCGCCTCGATCAGCCGCGATCAATACTCTCCAGGAAGCCTGGAGGCCAAATTCAGGCAATCAGGGGCAATCAGCTGATCGCGATCAGCTGATCGCCCTAACTCGATCAGACCCGATTTACCCCCCGATCATAGTCGATTCTCTTCGATCACCCACGATCAACTGATCGTGGGTGATCGGGGACCACAGCGATACTGACGAAAAGTTACACTATATTACAGGGATTCGTCAACCCCTCACAAAGATGTCCAGCCTGTACAGAACACCCTGGAATGGCACCCATTTCGCCATCCAATCATTCTCCTCGCTCCCAAGGAACATACAGCCTGTGTCGAACAATCTAGTGGAATCCCACCACTTCGGCTCCAGAGGGGAGTGGTTTTCACGATATTACTTGGATACAGAGAGTTTCGCCAGAAGCCGTCTGGTCGCCAGTCTCGCTAAGATTGCCACGAAAATACAAGGTAATTAAATACCGCTTTCTGAGCAGCCGAGAAAAATCTTCTAAGAAAAACATTACTGATCGGGCGGCTCGGGCATTGCGATCACAAGCAACCCGATCAGATCCGCCCCGATCAGATCAGTCGCGATCAAACCCGTTTGGGCCCACGCCCTAACACTATAATTGATGGCTGCGTGGCAAGTTGGCATTCGCAACGCAAAACAGTGTGCAACAGATTGAAGGAACATGGCGAAAGTTGCCGCCAAGCAATGAACGAACCTGGAATCGATTGGTTCGCACGAAACCACCTCATATACAGTACCGACACGAGGTGACTGTGGTTGGTTTCAAATCCTCCAGAGATGTGCCAAACAATTGTTTTTCTCCCTCCCTCTGTATGCAGGTGTGAGGTTAGCAATTCAATTCCCTGGACAATAAAAATATCCTTTCGGATTTTCTCATAAACCCAAGGCTAGCAAAACTAGATTCGCGATGACCTCTTCCTCTGCTTCAGGATTTTGACATTTAGCGCAGAGATTCTTGATGAACGACATGTTGTGGTGTGTGCGAGTTTCATGACTTCGAAGGGTTTGTTGTAGTGAAAAATTATTGCAAATGAGATGGTTCTCGGGTGTGGGATGGAACGACGGGAATGTGAAGCGAACAGGGAAAAGTGGAGGAGAGGGGGTGGGGACCAATATTTTTGTGGAACTGTTTGAGTGTACATCACGGAACAGCCAAAAATACACACTGGAGTCACGATTATACTGTTGAGCATTCGAGATACAGTGTCTTAACGTATGCACTTCGTGTCCATACGTAATGTGGCTTGTTTTGGCAGCATGCATGCAACGCTGTCGACAAACTCGGAAGGAAATGCCAAAATCCCACACCACCACCACTGATGGTTTGCGACACAGAACATTCGCGAGATTCGCGAAAACTGGTTTCTTGCCTTGGTTACCCGCACCACCACCACCCGTAGTCCTCCCATTGGCTTCCAGGAGCACCCCAGAATAGTTGACCCCCCCAACCCAACCGCAACCCCAACCTCTCTCCTTTTCGGCGAGTGGGCGCTGCTGGTTCTTGAGGGGTTGGCGCACATGAGCGAGGTGGACGTACAGAACTGTAGCTGCGTTGAAGAATTGGGCAGCGTAGGGCCAGACCAGAAACTCCGTAAACCGAGGCTTGTTGCTACAGTAGTACCTGGCGAGGTCAAGAGCACCAACCGTAAACCGAGTTTACGGTCTGATGTGTACTTGCTGGCGGTAAACCAACCAACATGTTTTCACATCACAGTACTGTACAGGCGTACGCAATCAGTGTACTACTGCCCCTCATCGACATGAGTCGAGCATGCGATTATTTCCTTCGCACTTTCACCCGCACTGGTCCTTACACACGCCCCTTCTAGTTTTAAAGCTTCCTTTCCCCCACCCCATACCCACGACGGCTCGACGGGCTTCGACTCAAAGTCTGAGTGAAAGTTGGATTCAGGTCGGACGTCCTTGTCAAAGTTTCGAGTAAAAGTAGGTTTTCCGTCACGTTCGCGCCGCGCTTCTAGCAATCTCTCCGGTCCAGGCACGAAAAATTGGCGCGAAACAAGCTTCCCCAACCATGGCCGCGGTTTCCCCGCCGCATTCATCGGCAAAGGCACCGTCTTCCCAGACCTCTCGCGATCTAACGGCCAAGCCGCGGCGCCCATCGTCCCCGCGCAACGGAGGATCTTCCTCATCCGACTCTGCCCCTCCTCGCCTTACGATCTTCGACGGGAAGCAAATCCGACGGCGGATGCACGACGACGCGGCATTCACGGCGTTCCTCTCGCACGAGTTCGACCGCCTCGACGCCGACGGTAACGGCGCGCTCTCGCTGGGCGAGTTAAAGCCGGCGCTACTGCGGCTCGGGGAGCTATTAGGGATGCCGCCGGCCGGGACGGCACGCGAGGTTGACGAGCTGGTGGAGGGTCTTTTCGCGTCGTTCATGTCGCCGGATCTCACGGAGGAGATTGGGCGGGATTCGTTTGTCCGGGTTTGCAAGGATATTCTTAACGGCGCGAGCCACGCGTTAGAAGGTACGTGCAAGTAAACATCCTACATAAGGACGTGCGACTCGGAATTCAGCTCCCCCTCATTCTTCCCCCCTTCCCCTCATTCTTCCCCCCTCCCCCTCATTCTTTCCCCCTCCCCCTCATTCTTTCCCCCTCCCCCTCATTCTTTCCCCCTCCCCCTCATTCTTTCCCCCCCCCCCCTCTCCCCCTCGTTCCTTCCCCCATTCCCCTCTCCGATCCCCAAGAGGACCCGCTATCCACGCTGGTCTACGACGGGGGCGCGCTGCGGAGAATACTGGGCAGCGCGGAGGAGGCGGAGGCGCTGATTTCGGCGCTGTTCGCGGAGCTGGATACGGACGGCAGCGGGTGCATCAGCAAGAGCGAGCTGCGCCCCGCGCTCGTGCGGTTGGGGCTTCACGGGGGCGACAGCACCACGGCCGAAGGTGAGACCTGCTCGTGCCTCTCGTGCCGTCCCTGCCGTTCGTGCTGAGCTCCCTAAATTCTGGATCGAGGGGCATGTGCGATGGGGGCTGGTGCGGGGCGGCTGCGCGGAAAGGATTCGGGAGGGGCTTTGCGGGACGGTGCGGGAATCAGTAAGCGGGGAAACCTCTTCAATTCTCCTTAGCCGCATTCTACATGAGAGCTACACAGCGAAAGAATTCGCAAAAGAAGAAGCAGGAAAAAGAAGCCAAGCGCATAAGTCTGGTTCGATCCAAGCCCTTTTCGTTCCCCCCCCATATGCGCGCGAGCACACGGAGCAGGTGTTAGAGCGCATTATCGACCACTGCTGCGCGGGCGCGCATCCCCTGTGATCACGCCCCCCATCGCCCCTCCTCTTCCGCTCCCCATCGCCCTCCTCCCCCCTCCCCCCATCAGCGCGCGAGCACCAGGAGCAGGTGCTGGAGCGAATCATCGACCGGTACTGTCTGGACGGCGACGGGGAGCTGTGCCGCGACGAGTTCTCGGCGCTGCTGCTGGACGTCTTTAAAGACCTCTCCTCCGAGCTCGAGGCCGCGCCGTTGTACCTGCCGCAGCGCGCCACCGTGCTCAACGGCGCGTACATAAAAAAGGTGCGCGATCTACGCACCGCATTGCACCGCATTGCTCTGCCCTGCCTGCTCTCAATCCCCTACCTCCCGTCCCCTTCCTCCCCACCTAAATGCACACACCTCTCTCAATCCCTCTGCCCTCCTTGCCCCTCACCTTCCTCGCCTGCCTATCCTCCCCCTCGCCCTATCCCCTCTGCCCTGTCCCCCCTCCCTGCCTCCAGATTCTGAGCAACGACGACTTTTTCACAGCAGTATCGGACGCCATGTCTAAATTTGAAGAGTGGGACGTCAACCCCCCTTACCCCCCCTCTCCCCCCTGCCCCCTCTGTACCCCGCCGTGCAGATTCTGAGTGACGACGAGTTTTTCACGGCGGTGGCGGACGCCATGTTCAACGACTGGGACGTCTCCCGCAGCGGCTTCTTGTCTTACCCCCCCACCGTCAGGTCAACCCCCTTCCCCCTGCCCCCCGCCCTCCCCCCCTCCCCCTGCCTCCAGATCCTAAGCGGCGACGAGTTTTTCACGGCGGTGGCGGACGCCATGTTCAACGAGTGGGACGGGGCGGAGAAGGGCTACCTCGTGTGCACTGACGCCATTGCGGGCTTCCGCAAGCTCGGCCTCGCCTACGGCCTCCCCCCGCCCCTATGCACCCTGTCACCTTCATATCCTCCCCTCTCCCAATGACCCCTGCCAGATCCTGAACGACGACGAGTTCTTCACGGCGGTATCGGACTCTATGTTCGAGGAATGGGACGTCTCCCACAAGGGCTACCTCGTGTGCACTGACGCCATAGCCGGCTTCCGCAAGCTCGGCCTCGCCTACGGGCTCCCTCCGCCCGACGCCGCGGAAGCAGACAAGGTCTACACGTCGCTCTTCCTCTCCGCGGACGTGAATCTGGACGGGTTTGTGGACAAGGGGGAGTTCCGCACGCTGCTGCGCTCGCTCTTCATCGGCATGCAGCTGCAGCTGGAAGAGACGCCGCTCGTGCTCGAATCGTCCGTGGAACCCAAGGGGGAGTCTAGATCCGGCGGTACAGAATCCGTTTTCGACGGGCCGAAGCTGCTCGCGTTGCTGCGCGAGGAGGGCGGCGGGCAGCGCGTGCGGAGATTTTTGGAGGAGAAGTTTCAAGAGATGGATAAGGGCGGGCGGGGGCGGGTTCCGCGCGAGGCGGTGCGCGCGGTGGTGGCGCACGTGGAGCAGACGAGCGTGCTGCCGTCGCCGCGGCGGACGTCTTTTCAGGCGCCTCAAAAGCGCGCGGAGCAGACGAGCGGGCTGCCGTCGCCCAGACGGACGTTCTCCGCGGGGAGCCCGGGGGTGGGGGGAAGACTGCGGGTGGGGGGAAGACGAGGGGAACGGGAATCCCAAGCGTTGTTAGAATCGGCGCGCAGACGAGGGAATATAGCGCCTGCTGGGATTGCTGCTGGGATTGCTGCTGGGAATGCTGTGGGGGACGCGGGGAGTGGTGATTGGGAGAGCGCGGAGCAGGAGGTGGCGTGCGAGGAGTTTGTGGATGCCATGATGCGCGTGCTGCAGCGCATGGGGGACGCCGTGTATGGTGCGTGCGGGTTCAAGGGGATGGACGAGTGTATGGTGCGTGCGGGTTCAAGGGGATGGACGAGTGCATGGTGCGTGCGGGTTCAAGGGGATGGACGAGTGCATGGTGCGTGCGGGTTCAAGGGGATGGACGAGTGCATGGTGCGTGCGGGTTCAAGGGGATGGACGAGTGCATGGTGCGTGCGGGTTCAAGGGGATGGACGAGTGCATGGTGCGTGCGGGTTCAAGGGGATGGACGAGTGCATGGTGCGTGCGGGTTCAAGGGGATGGACGAGTGCATGGTGCGTGCGGGTTCAAGGGGATGGACGAGTGCATGGTGCGTGCGGGTTCAAGGGGATGGACGAGTGCATGGTGCGTGCGGGTTCAAGGGGATGGACGAGTGCATGGTGCGTGCGGGTTCAAGGGGATGGACGAGTGCATGGTGCGTGCGGGTTCAAGGGGATGGACGAGTGCATGGTGCGTGCGGGTTCAAGGGGATGGACGAGTGCATGGTGCGTGCGGGTTCAAGGGGATGGACGAGTGCATGGTGCGTGCGGGTTCAAGGGGATGGACGAGTGCATGGTGCGTGCGGGTTCAAGGGGATGGACGAGTGTATGGTGCGTGCGGGTTCAAGGGGATGGACGAGTGCATGGTGCATGCGGGTTCAAGGGGATGGACGAGTGCATGGTGCGTGCGGGTTCAAGGGGATGGACGAGTGCATGGTGCGTGCGGGTTCAAGGGGATGGACGAGTGCATGGTGCGTGCGTGCATGGTGCGTGCGGGTTCAAGGGGATGGACGAGTGCATGGTGCGTGCGGGTTCAAGGGGATGGACGAGTGCATGGTGCGTGCGGGTTCAAGGGGATGGACGAGTGTATGGTGCGTGCGGGTTCAAGGGGATGGACGAGTGCATGGTGCGTGCGGGTTCAAGGGGATGGACGAGTGCATGGTGCGTGCGGGTTCAAGGGGATGGACGAGTGCATGGTGCGTGCGGGTTCAAGGGGATGGACGAGTGCATGGTGCGTGCGGGTTCAAGGGGATGGACGAGTGTATGGTGCGTGCGGGTTCAAGGGGATGGACGAGTGCATGGTGCGTGCGGGTTCAAGGGGATGGACGAGTGCATGGTGCGTGCGGGTTCAAGGGGATGGACGAGTGTATGGTGCGTGCGGGTTCAATTCAAGGGGATGGACGAGTGTATGGTGCGTGCGGGTTCAAGGGGATGGACGAGTGTATGGTGCGTGCGGGTTCAAGGGGATGGACGAGTGCATGGTGCGTGCGGGTTCAAGGGGATGGACGAGTGTATGGTGCGTGCGGGTTCAAGGGGATGGACGAGTGTATGGTGCGTGCGGGTTCAAGGGGATGGACGAGTGCATGGTGCGTGCGGGTTCAAGGGGATGGACGAGTGTATGGTGCGTGCGGGTTCAAGGGGATGGACGAGTGCATGGTGCGTGCGGGTTCAAGGGGATGGACGAGTGCATGGTGCGTGCGGGTTCAAGGGGATGGACGAGTGCATGGTGCGTGCGGGTTCAAGGGGATGGACGAGTGCATGGTGCGTGCGGGTTCAAGGGGATGGACGAGTGTATGGTGCGTGCGGGTTCAAGGGGATGGACGAGTGCATGGTGCGTGCGGGTTCAAGGGGATGGACGAGTGCATGGTGCGTGCGGGTTCAAGGGGATGGACGAGTGTATGGTGCGTGCGGGTTCAATTCAAGGGGATGGACGAGTGTATGGTGCGTGCGGGTTCAAGGGGATGGACGAGTGTATGGTGCGTGCGGGTTCAAGGGGATGGACGAGTGCATGGTGCGTGCGGGTTCAAGGGGATGGACGAGTGTATGGTGCGTGCGGGTTCAAGGGGATGGACGAGTGTATGGTGCGTGCGGGTTCAAGGGGATGGACGAGTGTATGGTGCGTGCGGGTTCAAGGGGATGGACGAGTGTATGGTGCGTGCGGGTTCAAGGGGATGGACGAGTGTATGGTGCGTGCGGGTTCAAGGGGATGGACGAGTGCATGGCGCGTGCGGGTTCAAGGGGATGGACGAGTGTATGGTGCGTGCGGGTTCAAGGGGATGGACGAGTGTATGGTGCGTGCGGGTTCAAGGGGATGGACGAGTGTATGGTGCGTGCGGGTTCAAGGGGATGGACGAGTGTATGGTGCGTGCGGGTTCAAGGGGATGGACGAGTGTATGGTGCGTGCGGGTTCAAGGGGATGGACGAGTGCATGGTGCGTGCGGGTTCAAGGGGATGGACGAGTGAGTGTATGGTGCGTGCGCGAGAGGAGAAGAGGACGTGTGCGTGGGTGTGAGGTTGGGTGGGTGGGAAGGCGGGTGTGTGGGTGGGCGTGAGCGTGTGATTGGGGAGCTCGTGGGGGCCACATGCGCGTGCTGCAGCGCATGGGTGGATGGTTGGGTGGGTCGGTGAGTGGTCCATGGCCGATTCCCTGCCGCATCCCCTTCCCCCTTCCCGCGTGCCCATTTCCCCCTTCCTGCATGACCGTTTCCCCCTTCCCGCGTGCCCATTTCCCCCTTCCCGCATGCCCGTTTCCCCCTTCCCGCATGCCCATCTCCCCCTTCCCGCATGCCCATCTCCCCCTTCCCTTATCACCATTCCCCTGATGTGCGCGTCCCACCCCACCCCCTCCCGTGTGCCTTAGGCAGCCCTATCCCGTGGCAGCACTTCTTGGCGGACTTCTGCTGTGGCGTCCCCTTCACATCCCCTGCCACCCCTTCCCGTGTGCCTCATCCCCCGCCACCCCTTCCCGTGTGCCTCATCCCCTGCCACCCCTTCCCGTGTGCCTCATCCCCCGCCACCCCTTCCCGTGTGCCTCATTCCCCGCCACCCCTTCCCGTGTGCCTCATCCCCCGCCACCCCTTCCCGTGTGCCTCATCCCCCGCCACCCCTTCCCGTGTGCCTCATTCCCCGCCACCCCTTCCCGTGTGCCTCATTCCCCGCCACCCCTTCCCGTGTGCCTCATTCTCCGCCACCCCTCCTCCCCTGCCACCCATCCCCCGCACTCCAGACGACCCTATACTGCAGTTCATGGCGGACGGGGCGAAGATGCAGCGGCTGATGGAGGAGGAGGGCGAGGTGGCGGGTGGGCGGGTGGATGGATGGGTGGCCGTCCTTCACGTGTGCTCATTCCCTGCCTGCCCCGTTTCCCTACCATGTCCCTTTGCATGCACTCCAGACGACCCCATACTGCAGTTCATGGCGGACGGGGCGAAGATGCAGCGGCTGATGGAGGAGGAGGGCGAGCTGGCAACGCTCATCGACATTCTCTTCAGCAGCCTCGACACCGATGGCAGCGGCACCATCTCCTCCTGCGAGCTCAAGCCAGCGCTCTCCACCATGGTGCAGAACATGGGACTACACACGCTCTGCCGTGAGTGCCATCTCTCAGTTTATGTCCGCATTAGTGGCGGGTAGGTAGCGGCGGGTAGTGAGCTGAAAGCAGCGCTCTCCACCACGGTGCAGAACATGGGACTGCACACCCTCTGCCGCAAGTAAATTGCAGTCACGTGCTATTGCGTGTAGAGTGGTTGCATGTAGTGGTTGCTAGAGAGCTCAAACCAACCCTTTCCACCATGGTGCAGAGCATGGGCCTGCACACCCTCTTCCGTGAGTGCATTGCAGTTTCACCGGTAGACCTCCTCCTCTCTGCCTCCCACCCCACCCCTCACCACCGCGCATCACCCCTCCTCTCTCTATATCGCTCGTTCTCTCTATACTGGGCAGGGAGCGCGTCAACAGAGAGGGTGGTGGCACAGCTGGTGATGACGCACGGCAAGGGCCGTCTGGACCTTTCCCTTTCCACTGCACCCCTCTCCACCACACATCACCACTCCTTCTCTGTCTCTTGTTCTCTTTCCGCGGTGCAGGGAGTGCATCAACGGAGAGTGTGGTGGCGCAGCTGGTGATGACGCACGGCAAGGGCCGTCTGGACCTCTCACGAGACCAGTTCACTGCCTTCATGCGCGTGCGTGCTGCTGTTTGGAGGGGAGGGGAGGAGGGTTGGGGCTTGTATGTGGGGGGGCTTGTGTGGGGAAGGCTGGGTCCTCTAGACCTCTCACGAGACCAGTTCACCTCCTTCATGCGCGTGCGTGCTGCTGTTTGGAGGGGGGTTGGGCTGTATGTGGGGGGCTTGTATGTGGGGGGCTTGTATGTGGGGAGGGTTTGTGTGAGGAAGGCTGGGGCGTCTGGACCTCTCACGAGACCAGTTCACCTCCTTCATGCGTGTGCGTGCTTGTATGGGGGGAGGGCGTATATGGGGAAGGCTTGTATGAGGGGGGCTTGTGTGGGGAAGGCTGGGCCGTATGGACCTCTCACGAGACCAGTTCACTGCCTTGATGCGCGTGCGTACTTGTAGTGGGGGAGGCTTGTCTGAGGGAGGTTTGTGTGGGGTAGGTAGGGCTGTGTGGAGGAGGGTATTATACTGAGATATTCCACATCCCCTGTATCTCCACCCCATCTTGGCGTACCCATGCCCCTCCTCCCCTCCCAGACACCTCTTTCCACCCTCCTCCATTGCCGTCCCGCTCTCCCACTCACTGCATCCCCTCGATCCCCCTCCCTCGCACCCTCTGCAGGCCACTGGCAGGAAGACTGGCAGCCAAGCCAGTCAAGCAGGTGACTGAAATGATTCTTTAGTTGACCCATTTGGTCTCCTTTGTCCCCCTCGCCCCTCACCCCCCTGCAGGCCACGATGTGTGACCTGGCGGGCAGGCTGGCAGTCAAGCCGGTCAAGCCAGTCAAGCCAGTCAAGCCGGTCAAGCCAGTCAAGCCAGTGATTGAGGTGATTTTTTAGTCGACTCACAAGCCTCCTGTGTCCTCCTCCCCCTTCACGTGTTCACCCGCTGCAGGCCACGGTGTCTGATCTGGCGGGCAGGCTGGCAGCGAAGCCGGAGGAGGAGGAGGAAGGGCAGGTGCTGGACGGCAGTAAACTGCGCCAGGTGCGGTGTGGGGGAAAGTGGTTGGGCGGGGGAGGGCAGTGAGGTGACAGGTGAAGTGCAGGATGCGAGGACGAGGAAGGGCAGGTGCTGCACTGCAGTAAACTGCGCCAGGTGGGGTGGGGAAAGGGGAGGGGAGGGGAGGGGAGGGGAGGGGAGGGGGGTGAGGTGGGGCAGGGTACTGGCACGGATGAACAGGTGAAGTGCAGGATGCGAGGACGAGGAAGGGCAGGTGCTGCACTGCAGTAAACTGCGCCAGGTGGGGTGGGGAAAGGGGAGGGGAGGGGAGGGGAGGGGAGGGGAGGGGGGTGAGGTGGGGCAGGGTACTGGCACGGATGAACAGGTGAAGTGCAGGATGCGAGGAGGAGGAAGGGCAGGTGCTGCACTGCAGTAAACTGCGCCAGGTGGGGTGGGGAAAGGGGAGGGGAGGGGAGGGGAGGGGAGGGGAGGGGAGGGGAGGGGAGGGGGGTGAGGTGGGGCAGGGTACTGGCACGGATGAACAGGTGATGTGCAGGATGCGAGGAGGAGGAAGGGCAGGTGCTGCACTGCAGTAAACTGCGCCAGGTGGGGTGGGGAAAGGGGAGGGGAGGGGAGGGGAGGGGAGGGGAGGGGAGGGGAGGGGAGGGGGGTGAGGTGGGGCATGGTACTGGCACGGATGAACAGGTGATGTGCAGGATGCGAGGAGGAGGAAGGGCAGGTGCTGCACTGCAGTAAACTGCGCCAGGTGGGGTGGGGAAAGGGGAGGGGAGGGGAGGGGGGTGAGGTGGGGCAGGGTACTGGCACGGATGAACAGGTGATGTGCAGGATGCGAGGAGGAGGAAGGGCAGGTGCTGCACTGCAGTAAACTGCGCCAGGTGGGGTGGGGAAAGGGGAGGGGAGGGGAGGGGAGGGGAGGGGAGGGGAGGGGGGTGAGGTGGGGCATGGTACTGGCACGGATGAACAGGTGATGTGCAGGATGCGAGGAGGAGGAAGGGCAGGTGCTGCACTGCAGTAAACTGCGCCAGGTGGGGTGGGGAAAGGGGAGGGGAGGGGAGGGGGGTGAGGTGGGGCAGGGTACTGGCACGGATGAACAGGTGATGTGCAGGATGCGAGGAGGAGGAAGGGCAGGTGCTGCACTGCAGTAAACTGCGCCAGGTGGGGTGGGGAAAGGGGAGGGGAGGGGAGGGGAGGGGAGGGGAGGGGGGTGAGGTGGGGCATGGTACTGGCACGGATGAACAGGTGATGTGCAGGATGCGAGGAGGAGGAAGGGCAGGTGCTGCACTGCAGTAAACTGCGCCAGGTGGGGTGGGGAAAGGGGAGGGGAGGGGAGGGGAGGGGAGGGGAGGGGGGTGAGGTGGGGCAGGGTACTGGCACGGATGAACAGGTGATGTGCAGGATGCGAGGAGGAGGAAGGGCAGGTGCTGCACTGCAGTAAACTGCGCCAGGTGGGGTGGGGAAAGGGGAGGGGAGGGGAGGGGAGGGGAGGGGAGGGGAGGGGAGGGGAGGGGAGGGGAGGGGAGGGGAGGGGGGTGAGGTGGGGCAGGGTACTGGCACGGATGAACAGGTGATGTGCAGGATGCGAGGAGGAGGAAGGGCAGGTGCTACACTGCAGTAAACTGCGCCAGGTGGGGTGGGGAAAGGGGAGGGGAGGGGAGGGGAGGGGAGGGGAGGGGAGGGGAGGGGAGGGGGGTGAGGTGGGGCAGGGTACTGGCACGGATGAACAGGTGATGTGCAGGATGCGAGGAGGAGGAAGGGCAGGTGCTGCACTGCAGTAAACTGCGCCAGGTGGGGTGGGGAAAGGGGAGGGGAGGGGAGGGGAGGGCAGGGGAGGGGGGTGAGGTGGGGCAGGGTACTGGCACGGATGAACAGGTGATGTGCAGGATGCGAGGAGGAGGAAGGGCAGGTGCTACACTGCAGTAAACTGCGCCAGGTGGGGTGGGGAAAGGGGAGGGGAGGGGAGGGGAGGGGAGGGGAGGGGAGGGGAGGGGAGGGGAGGGGGGTGAGGTGGGGCAGGGTACTGGCACGGATGAACAGGTGATGTGCAGGATGCGAGGAGGAGGAAGGGCAGGTGCTGCACGGCAGTAAACTGCGCCAGGTGGGGTGGGGAAAGGGGAGGGGAGGGGAGGGGAGGGGAGGGGAGGGGAGGGGAGGGGGGTGAGGTGGGGCATGGTACTGGCACGGATGAACAGGTGATGTGCAGGATGCGAGGAGGAGGAAGGGCAGGTGCTGCACTGCAGTAAACTGCGCCAGGTGGGGTGGGGAAAGGGGAGGGGAGGGGAGGGGAGGGGAGGGGAGGGGAGGGGAGGGGAGGGGGGTGAGGTGGGGCATGGTACTGGCACGGATGAACAGGTGATGTGCAGGATGCGAGGAGGAGGAAGGGCAGGTGCTGCACTGCAGTAAACTGCGCCAGGTGGGGTGGGGAAAGGGGAGGGGAGGGGAGGGGAGGGGAGGGGGGTGAGGTGGGGCAGGGTACTGGCACGGATGAACAGGTGATGTGCAGGATGCGAGGAGGAGGAAGGGCAGGTGCTGCACTGCAGTAAACTGCGCCAGGTGGGGTGGGGAAAGGGGAGGGGAGGGGAGGGGAGGGGAGGGGAGGGGAGGGGGGTGAGGTGGGGCAGGGTACTGGCACGGATGAACAGGTGATGTGCAGGATGCGAGGAGGAGGAAGGGCAGGTGCTGCACTGCAGTAAACTGCGCCAGGTGGGGTGGGGAAAGGGGAGGGGAGGGGAGGGGAGGGGAGGGGAGGGGGGTGAGGTGGGGCAGGGTACTGGCACGGATGAACAGGTGATGTGCAGGATGCGAGGAGGAGGAAGGGCAGGTGCTACACTGCAGTAAACTGCGCCAGGTGGGGTGGGGAAAGGGGAGGGGAGGGGAGGGGAGGGGAGGGGAGGGGAGGGGAGGGGAGGGGAGGGGAGGGGGGTGAGGTGGGGCAGGGTACTGGCACGGATGAACAGGTGATGTGCAGGATGCGAGGAGGAGGAAGGGCAGGTGCTGCACGGCAGTAAACTGCGCCAGGTGGGGTGGGGAAAGGGGAGGGGAGGGGAGGGGAGGGGGGTGAGGTGGGGCAGGGTACTGGCACGGATGAACAGGTGATGTGCAGGATGCGAGGAGGAGGAAGGGCAGGTGCTGCACTGCAGTAAACTGCGCCAGGTGGGGTGGGGAAAGGGGAGGGGAGGGGAGGGGAGGGGAGGGGAGGGGGGTGAGGTGGGGCAGGGTACTGGCACGGATGAACAGGTGATGTGCAGGATGCGAGGAGGAGGAAGGGCAGGTGCTGCACGGCAGTAAACTGCGCCAGGTGGGGTGGGGAAAGGGGAGGGGAGGGGAGGGGAGGGGAGGGGAGGGGGGTGAAGTGGGGCAGGGTACTGGCACGGATGAACAGGTGATGTGCAGGATGCGAGGAGGAGGAAGGGCAGGTGCTGCACTGCAGTAAACTGCGCCAGGTGGGGTGGGGAAAGGGGAGGGGAGGGGAGGGGAGGGGAGGGGAGGGGAGGGGAGGGGGGTGAAGTGGGGCAGGGTACTGGCACGGATGAACAGGTGATGTGCAGGATGCGAGGAGGAGGAAGGGCAGGTGCTGCACGGCAGCAAGCTGCGCCAGGTGCAATGGGTGAGAGGGGAGGGGAGGGGAAGGGAGGGGAGGGGAGGGGAGAAGCGAGAGCATGGGGAGGGCTGTAGAGGGTTGCACGCTGCTAGAACGAGCACCCACAGGTCAGACAAATCTCCACTCCCCTTTTCTGCAATCTTCCAGCAATACCCATTGCTCTGCTCCTCACCCCCACAACATCCCCCCGCTCCCCTCTCCCTTTCCCCCTTCTCCCCTCTTTCTCCCTCCCTCTCAACCCTCACCCTTCCCCCCCTCGCCCTCTCCCCTCTCCCCCCCTCTTCACCCTCAAATCCCGGGACACCGGTGGCTCTTCCAGAAGATCTGAAGAAACCTTCACCGCATGGGCCCTGTCCAGGAAGCATCACCTCTTACCCACTCACCACCCCTTTCACTCCCCGCTGCCCTCCCCTCCCACCTCTCCCCCCTTGAGATCCTCGGGGACAGGCGGCTCTTCCAGAAGATCTGTGAGAACACCTTCACCTCCTGGGACGTGTCCTGGAAGCGCTGCCTCTCCCCCTCTTCCCACTCCCTCTCAATCCACACCCTTTCCCCCCTCTCCTGCTCTCCCCTCCCACCTCTCCCCCCATCAGATCCTGGGCGACCGGCGGCTCTTCCAGAAAATCTGTGAGGACACCTTTACCTCGTGGGACGTGTCAAGAAAGCGCTGCCTGTCACGGGCGGACATCAGTGCAGGGCTGGCGCGGTCCGGCATGATGTGGGGGCTGCCCCCCCACAACGCACGCAACGCCGAGGAGGTGTACGACAGATTCTTTCTCAAGGCTGATCTCGACCGGTCGGGGTCGGTGGAGCGAGCCGAGTTTAATGTGTTTCTGAGAGGCGTGTTCCGATCCATGGCTGAGGAGTTGGAGAAGAATCCTCTTGTGGTGCATACATCCAAGGTTCGGCCGCCCAATGCGGGCTCGTTGTGAAGGAGATAACACAGGCTATTATCAGTATGTATTGTAGATGTTCTTATGTGTATAATAAAAAGGCGTGTACTATCAATATTCACCTGAGCAAAGCAGTCAATTCACTACCATATATGAGCAGCACTGATACTGTAAGGGACACTGTAATTGACACAGTGAAAGGGGAATGGACAGCTGTGCGTCAACATGTCTGAAACTGGTGCCACCAGCCAGCCATCGGTTCATATCCCAGCGAAAATCATGGTAACTACCGGTAAACAGTTCCACTGAGGCCGATCAGATGCCACAAAGCCTGGATTCTTCTGCCTGACCGCCTCCCTCTGCCTGCCTGTATGCCTGCCTGTCTGCTGCCTGCCTGTCATGTCTTGGCTGCACTGCACGCAAGTGACAAAACTGCAGCCCATCAGCTCGGCTGCCGTGACCCACCCACCTTACTCCATGACCCCTCAAGCATGCTGCACTATGCCCGTGATCAATCAGCTTCCTACCGCATCACCCTAAGCTCTTACTCTCGTGCTGCTTCACCTGCTGCTGCTTCTGCTGCTACTGCTGGGCGCTACAAGTGCGGCTCCGAACCACCATCGGAGTTGCCAAGGTGCTGCCAATCAGCTGCTGCCACGTGCACCAGGCGAGACGACATGCTAAACAGTGCAAAGCTATCCTGGGTTAGACGCCGATGCCACATGACCCTGTGCCACCACCACACCCTCCTCCCCTGCCCCTTCCTCCACACGCGCCCCTTCCCCTGCCCTCCCCTCCCCGCCGCTCCCCTCCAGCCTCCGCATCTCCCCACCACCACCATCTTCCGCATTCCCCTCCTGCCTCGCACCCCCCCCAGCCTCCCCGCCATCCTCGTCCCGCAGAACACGAGCAGGGGGCGTCATGGCAGCGGCGCTGAGCAGCGAGAGCTCGTGCAGTTCGTTGAGCACCCACTCCTTGCCCGTCTGCCCGCCCAGCACCACGGCCTTCGTTCCCCCCACCACGCACGTGCTGTGCCCCCACGCTATCCGCGGCTGCTGCCCCGGAAACGCCAGCTCCCGCCACCGCGGCTTCTCTTCCCCCGGGTCGAGCAGGTATACCTGGGACGGGGTAGGACTCACCCCCGCAATTGATCCCCCGAACACTAATACGCGCCCCCCGGGCAGCGCAAACGCAACGTGGTCCAGCCTGGGCGGGGGCGACGCTCCCCCTGGCGTTCCGCCAGTGCCCCCCCCGCCCCCTGCCCCACTGCCGTTCGCCCCGCCACCTCCCCCCGGGAGAGGCGCGTCGGGGGAGACGGTCTGCCAGTTGGGGTGCTCGTCGGCAAGATCGATGGTGAACGCGTCGTTCGACCGCAGGCGCAGCGCGCCGCTCGTCGCCAGCCCCCCGAACATGAGCACCTTGCGCCCGCCCAGCGCGGAGAGCGTGTGCCCCAGGCGCGCGGGCGGCGCCCACGCCACGCGGATCTCCTTCCACGACGGCGGGTTGTGCGCGAGGTCGAGAAGGAAGGTGTCGGAGAGCAGGCGACCGGACGCGGTACAGCCGCCGGACACGACAAGCTTGGACCCCTCGACGGTGCATGAGCTGTGCCACGACCGCGGGTGCGGCCGCTGCGGGGGTGCGGCCGGCGCGGGCGCTGCTCGCGCGACTGCCTGCAGCTGCTGCTGCCGGCGTTGGTGCGGCTCCTGCTCCTGCTGCTGCTGGTGTTGTTGCTGTTGGTGCTGATGCTGTCTGTTGTCCTGCTGCTGATCATCTTGTCTCGTATCCAACGGCTGGGTCGCCGCCTCTCCCTGTTCCCGCCTCACAACTCCCTCTCCATCCTCTGCTGCTTCCGCAGCTGCCCGCGCGTCTCCACCGCTTCTCAACACCAACCCATCCCCCAGGACAGCATTCCCCCTCGCGCTACCCCTGCCCTCCCCACCAGTCCCCCCGTCCCCAGCGCCAGCACCACTGCTACTCCCGGCATCCTCCCCCACCACGACCTCCCGCCACTCGGGCTGCTTGTCGTCCAGGTCCAACAGAAACGCGTCGTTCAGCAATCCCTCGCGCCCGCACCCGCCGAACACCACCAGCCCCGACCCGTTCACGCACGACAGCGTGTGCCCCCAGCGCCCGGGGGGCGCGGAACCCGCGACGGGGACGTGCCGCCACTCGGGCATGTCGGACGCGAGATCGAGAACGAAGGTGTCGTTAAGGGGCTGCATGTTTGCGCCCTCCCCGCCGAACAGAACCACCTTGCTGCCCACGGCGCACGCGCTGAAATTGCACCGCGACGGCTCCACCGACCCTTTTACCGTGACCTTGCGCCACGTGGCGGCTTCCAGCGTCGTCATTTCGCGCGCAATCTGCGCCCACTTGACCCGCTGCAGCCACTGCGACTTCTGATGGTTCTCTATCAGCTGCCGCTGCTGCTGCTGCTGCTGCTGCTGCTGATGCTGCTGCTGCCCCACAACCGTACTCAACCGCTTCCCACCCGCCCCTTCTAACCCTACTCCCCTACCAACCGCTCCTTCGAATACAACCTTACTCTTCCCGTGCCACGCATACCGCCCTCGTCGCACCACCTCCTCCGCCGCCTCCTCCTCCTCCGTCTTCCACCCCACCGTCGCCTGCGCCTGCACCGCCGCGGTCGCCTCCGCGCCCCACACGTGCTGGCACGCGCGCTGCCACACGTCCTGGCTGACCGCGAGCTGGCGGAACCGCCGACACGACATGGCGAGCGACGCGATGTCTCTGGGACCCAGGTGGCACATTACTCGCTGCACTAGCACCTCGTCGCTTACTTGCAACAGCCCGCTACACCCCCCGCTCCCGCTACCGCTGCCCCTGCTCCTACCGCAGTCGCTGCTACTGGGGTAGCTCCGCCCTGGCCCTATACATCCCCCGCCGCCCTCCCCTTCCCGCGCGCATTTCCGCCCGAACCCTGGGAACGGCGCGTGGTCGTGCAGGCAGCACGCGGGCCACGCGCTGCTGCTGCTGCTACAGCCAGGGGCAGAAGCACTCGTGCTGGGCACGGCGACGGGCGAGGCGTCGTTGGGATCCGCGCGGCTAGAAGAGCCGACAACTGAACCGGCTGGCAACCGGTCGGAGAGCGGTCCGGGCTGTCTAGAGGGTGGCCACCGAGATGCAACCACAGCGGCTGCGGCGGCGGCGGCGGCTGAGGCTGCCGCCCCCGACATAGGCAGATGCTGCGGCTCCTTGTGCGGCGGGCCTGGCAACGGGCCGAGCTCGACGTTGGTTTCTGCGAAAGACTGCACCCCAACGAAATGGGTAACTGTGCTAGTGTCGCTTCCGCGAATCGGCGCGATGCAGAGGGTATTCATGATGGCGCTACCGTCCTTGCGGAAATTGAGGATCTCCCCGCAGAACTCACGGCCTTCTGCGATGCACTGGCGTAACCTCGCGACGGTGGCGGGATTCACGAGAGAGTGCGGCCGCTGCGCGAATGCCCCGCGATACTGAAGGAACCGACTGCGCGACAGACGAACAAAAAAAAAGGAGTTTAGAAGGACGTGGATTTGTGGTGACGGAAGGGAAAAACGAGCGACGGAAACACGAAAAGAGACACCGCGATGAACGAGATGTTTAAGAATGCCAGTAAACGTCAGCATGCGCGTACCAATTCCGTCCAAGAATATCTTCCGCCGTGTAACCCGTCAGGCGCTCGAACACACTATTCACATAGATGATAGGATGGTCCGGTTCTAACGCGTCTGACACTATCAGCCCGCACGGCTTCGTCGCCATAAGGCCCTCAATCGTCCGTCTACTCTCGTCGCTAACTCCTCGCAGGAATGACGGCAACAATCTCACTACGTCTAAGTCACTGTTGACGTCCCCTGTTGCTGCTACACCGTCCTTGCTAATGCTGCTGCCAGCACCCCCGATTCCGATAGGTCCGAAGCCGCTCATCCCGGACTCGTCGTCTGAATCGCTCGACCACTCCATTGCCGTGAGTTGCTAACACTAAAGTCAGGACAACTACCCGCTTTCAACCACGCTATTAAAAAATGCTGCGTGTAAATGGCTGACAGATTCTTACCACTACTCGGGACCCTGACGAGTAGACGTATCTGTCGCTGATTGCTGAGAGGTGGAGATTTCACGATACAGATCAAGCGCAACCAGTTTCAAGCTGCCAAAAGCACAGCAACTAGCGTCCGAGGCTTCAGACTACGATGAATCGAGCCGACCTGGATCGAAATGGCGTAAAATCTCGGCCCAGAACAACTTAAGCTTGAATCTAAGTAGGCGGTGGCCAACCATGGAGCCTAGGTGCGGCATCTACGGTGAAACAATAAGAACCTGCTAGCACTAGGGTAAACGCCTGCAAGAATATCGCCGATAAATCTCACGGATGTAATCATGGGCTGTTGGTAAGGAGTTATGAGATTACTGGGACCAATAGCTACTTGACAAGAACTGGAGACATGAGACTACGGATGAGGGTTTGCTCTAGGAACTCGCTGATAAGGAAGCATTCCCTAGACAACTGCTGATGAGAGCAAGTCACTGTTCACAGGAAATGCCGATGATGAACTCTCTAGAAGGGAAGAGAAGAGAAGCGAAGAGAAGCAGAATGGTGACGGCGAGCTGGTGTGGTTCCCGCAGGGTGGATGGATGAAACCCTAGCTCTGTCCACTCCTGAACCTGCATTGCCGTCACGTCAGCCTCTGACAGACTTTCCCGCTTGCCCACGCTTCTTGGTGCAGAACTCCGGTGTCCAACCGCTAACGGAAGCATCTCGGCCATTCATTTCGAATGCCACGGACACATGAACCATGACATAGGAGCTGCCCGTTATCCCTTTGGATATTTCCTTTGCAGCTCCACAGCCACCAACAGCACTCGAAAAGTCCCAGACATTTTTTAGAAAAGTGCAGATATTTTCTTCCTGTCGGCTGCTCCTTTCATTCGCTGTGCACATGCAACTCCTTTAGCATCACCGCTCTGTAGTAGCACAACCTGGCTTTCCTAGCCCAGCTTTTCCGCGTGCAGGAGTTGAACAGTTGAACAGCCGGGACAACTTCCCGCAGCCAGGAGCATAAATTCATCCATTTGGCATTCGTGGCTGGTGATGATGGAAGAGCTCCTTCAAGCCACAAAACGATCCAGACGCATTTTAAATATCCTAGTTGTGGCGGAGAGGCAATCTGTTTGGCCGCAAGATAGAGAGATAAAGATACTTCTCGTTAGATATTTTACGTCCCGTTCAAAAAGTTGACATGCATTCCATCCACGTGTCATGCAACAGTCACATTGAGTGGGTTTGATCATGGGCAATTTTCTACCCGTTTGATCGGGCTTCGCAGCCACCTTTCCACTTCAGATAGCAATGTATTGAAGCAAACATCAAAGTTAGTGCTGCATAATATATAGTTTATTCGATATAATGGTTGGGGCGGGACCTTTTCGTTGTATGCTTTTAGTGCTGACCATAAATTTCCTTGGTTTGGTGGAGGTTGGGGTAAGGCAGGGAACGTTAGCCTCCACGTCACACGCAGCCCAGAGAATGGCTAAGCCCAGTTGTCCGCATTGCGTCCATTGCTTCATTCCACGTGTCAGCGAAAGACAACCTCCCCGAACAAAAAAAGCTCCCACTTTTTCCAACGTCCAGGAGATACAAATCCGTGGGTTCAGATATTTCTTTTGTAGGGGGGCAGCCACCGGAAGCCGAGGGTTTCTCTGTCGCGTTGCTGTCAGACTCCCCCACGCGAGAGGTCTGCCTTCCTGTGAACCACTCTCCCGTGCGTATTGGATCTTCCATCTCCTTCCCTGCCCGTCTTCTTTCCTCATCCCCCACTCAACCTCCGTCCCCCACATCTCCTCTCTACGGGTCTGCTCTAATCTTAGCTCCAGTAGATCACTCTCACACTTGCCAGCGTTCCATTCACAGCTTTGAACTGCGTTCTTGTTGATAGTAAGCTCTGCGTATCTGCTTAGCCTGCACCAGCTGTTATAGTATCAAGGCAGTGTAGAATGGTACGGATATATTTCGTTACAAACTGTTCGTCATAACGCGTGACTTTACTAGAATAGTATTTATCAGAACGCACCAAATTCATGTCAGGAGCCATTGTGCCATCGGCCGGCCAGGAGCAGCGCCGGCCATGCGACGTAGCGACGTTTCAGAGGAGCAACGTGCACATCCTGCTGTCGGATAAGGACACGGAGTCACGTCAAAATGTTCTCGAGCTGCTTCGCCGCTGTTCGTACCGAGGTGCGTCAGCGCCGCCGCTTCCGCCTTGCGACAGATTCCTTTGATCGATTTTCTTATATATTATTTCGTTCTCACACGTTTTCAGACGTTTTCACGTAGAAAATACGTCTTATTTCGTCACCTTGAGTCCCCTTCCGTCGATTCACGACATGCCACGTACCAAGTTATGTGCCTGCTTCGATCAACCGATTCAGTATCTTTCAATTATATCAACGTCTCTCGTTCCTACATCGCCGCCTTCCTGAACCCCCTTCCTTCTCCAGTCACGGCCGTTGAGAACGGGCGACTGGCGCTGCAGCTGCTGCGGTCGTCGAGCGACACGATAGATTTGATTCTGGCGGAGGTGGAGCTGCCGAACGGCAAGGGGTACAAGATGCTCAAGATCATCATGCGCGAGGAGCGCCTCAAAAACATTCCCATCGTCAGTACGTGCTCCGCTACCCACGCTCACGGATAGTCTCTCAGCTAGCGTCTGTCGGCTAACTTCGGTCTCCTAGCGTCTGTCGTTTACCGTCAGTCGGCTAGCGTCGGTCGACGCACTGGTCGGCTATCGTCAGTCCGTTAACGTCGGTCGGCTAACGTCAGTCAGTTAACGTCATTCCGCTTTGTTCCTGCCTGGCATGCCTCCTCGCATTGCCTTACTTCCTCCGCTTTGTTCTTTTACTACTCCTCACCGTCGCTGCCGGCTGTCATCATCGCTGCCAGCTGTAAATCTTCTCTCCGGCTCGGTTCTCCGACGCGTTCTGCTCTTGGGCGGACCTTTCTCATACGCATCTTGTTTTTCCCTCTCCTTCCCTCTTCCTCCCCCCCTCTCTCTCTTTCCTCTCCTCTCCCCTCCCGCCCGCCCCTCTTATCTCGTGGCCCGTCTCCTTGCACGGCGCGCAGTGATGTCGACGCGCGACGAGATGGCGATCGTCGTCAAGTGTTTGCGCCTCGGAGCCGCGGACTTTCTCGTGAAGCCGCTGCGCACCAACGAGCTCCTCAACCTCTGGACGCACATGTGGCGCCGCCGCCGATCCGTGAGCACTCTCCGCCCTCTCCGCACTCTTCGCCCTCTCCGCACTCTCCGCACTCTTCGGTTTCCTCCCTCGACCCGCTCTGCCTTTCGACTGTTTCCACGCTTTTGTTCACTCGCAACGTTGACCTGTTATTTACTCGCGCCGTCGACTTGTTCACTCGCGCGGTCGACTTGTTTAGTCGCGCCGTCGACTTGTTCACTCGCGCCGTTGAATTCTTGCTCACTCGCGTCGCTGACTTTCTGTTCGCGGTCCCTCGCAAGTCCCGCCCTGTACTCATCTCGCCAATCCGCTTCCCCTCGTGCGCGCAGGTGGGGTTGGGGGAGGCTCCGCGGAGCATGATGGCGGTGAGCGCAAGCGAGGTGGCGCACGACCTGGTGTTCGTGGATACGAGCGAGTCGAACACGGGCACCGGCAGCACGGACCTGTTTTCTGAAGAGACGGACGATAAGCGCCGCAGCAGCGTGCAGCAACAGCACCTGCAGCAGCAGCTTCAGGAGCAGCAGGAGCAGCAGCAGCAGTTGCATGAGCTGGAGCAGCAGCAGGAGCAGGTGCAGGCGCAGAGGCGGCAGCAGCTTGTGCGGCAGGAGCAACAGAAGGAGCAGAAGGAGCACAGGGAGCAGGAGCTGCTGCGGAAGGAAAAGAAGGAGGTTGTGAAAGTGGTGGGGGAGCAGGGGGGAGAGGGGAAAGAGATGGGGGAGGAAGACGAGGTGGCGGAGGGGGAGGGGGAGGGGGAGGAAGTGGAGATGATATTGGAGCGGCAGGAGAGAGAGCAGGCGGAGGCGGAGGAGGGTGGGCAGCAGCGATGCGAGCTCATGCTGCTGGAGACGCGAGACGCTCCCGGAGCGGGAGAAGCGGGAGGGGAGGAAGGGGAAGAGAGGGAAGAGAGCGACGCGGATGAGCAGCCGTTCAAGCGGCGACACGTGGCGGCGCAGCGAGAGCGGGGCGCGGCGGGAGGAGCCTGCGGAGTGGCGCACGGTGGAGCGCAGGAGAGGAGGAGCAAGCTCGGCGCGCAGGACAGGGCGGAGCGGGAGGAGGTTGAGGGCCAGCCGCAGGTAAGCGCGCGCCCGCTTCTCCGCCGTTCACCCCGTCCCTCTATAGGAGGGTCTTTCCCTCCGTCCTCCTCGACCTCTTGAATTCCTTCTATCGTCCCAACCCGCCTCTCCCTCCCCTCCCCTTCCCCTTCTCTCCGCCATCTCCGCTGCTCTTTTCGTCCTTCCTGCTAGACGTCACCGCTCCTCTTTTCGGCCTTGTCACTTCCCCTCATTCTCATCCTTCCCTTCTCTCTCTTTGTCGTTTCCGCACCCTCTCCAACAGCCAATGCCTGCGCTCGAGCTCTCGCTCATGCTGCCACGTGTCGCGTTGCCGTTGGACGTACAATTTGCGTCCGAGCGTCGTCTGCCGCCCGACCGAGCCGCGCTTGAGACCTCACGCCCTTCCATGCCCCCCGCAATGGCCGCCACTCTCCTCGCGCTCTGCACCTCCGCGGTGGCCGCCGTCGCATCTGCGCCTCCGCGCGACACACGCGCCGCCGCAGTTGCAGCTACAACAACCAATGATGTTGCACGAGCTGGCGATGCCGGTGCCGCGAGTGCAGCAGCAACAGCAGCAGCAGCAGCCCTCTCCTTATCTTCCGCCATTCCCGCCACCGCGCACCCTTTCCCCCCACCGCCCCACCAAATGATGCTGCGCCGAGCAGCCTCCCACGAACCCACCTCCGCGCCTCTCTTTTCCTCCGCCCGCCCTCCCTCCTCCCCCACCCGCGCATCTGCGCTCCAGCCCTCCCCGCCCCTCCACACCTCCCGCGTGCTCCCCACGCGCGCCTCCCCCCAGCCGCCTGGCTCCGCGGCTGTTGCCACTCTGCTCCCGCCCTCCAGTCCCCTTCTGCCCTTCCGCCTCGCGCCCTCGCTCCCCTCTGCGCCGTCTGCGCCCTCTCTTCACTCCCCCGCGCACCTCGCGCTCCCCACGCGCACCATCAGTCAGCCCATCCTCCCCTCCGCTTCCACCGCCCGCCCTCCCGAACTCCGCCTGTCCGAAAGCCCGCCCGCTCCTGCCCCCGCGCCTGCGGCCGCGACTGCTACCACTGCTGCAGCAGCTGCTGCTGCGCGCGCCGCAACCGCCGCGCGCGCTGCGCTGAGTCGTTCAGCGAGCGCGGAGCAGGCCGCGGAGAGGAGCGCGGCGCAGGGCGCGGGGGACAAGCGCGCAGAGGATAAGCGCGCGGAACCCGCGCCCGCGACGGAGCTGCCGTTAGCCGGACGACGGGCGTCGCCCGCACGGCTGGTCCCGAAGGCGGGTGGTGCTGCTGGGTCTAATGCTGCTTCTGCTTTGAAACGGGGAGGTTGCGAGGCGATGGCAGGGCGGGGGAGGATGGCGGGGAGTGACGTGAAGAAGCAACAACAACAGCAGCAACAGCAGCAACAGCAGCAACAGCAGCAACAGCAGCAGCAGCAGCAACAGCAGCAGCAGCAGCAACAGCAGCAGCAGCTGCAGCAGCAGGGCGAGGCAGCAGCAAGAAAAAGTGTCGCAACCGCGAGGCGGGGCGGGGGCAGTCCCCCATCCCCCGCCGCCAGCGCCACACCTCCGCGGACGGCCTCACGAGCAGCTGCGCGCGCGCCTGCAAGCCCTGCGGGGATGCACCCGCGCCCTGCTGCTGGGCTGTGTGGCGGGGGAAGGGGTAAAGGCGCGGAACTGGCGGGGGCTTCACTGGGAGGGGAAGGCAGGGCAGGCCGAGATGGAACGCAGGGGGCTCACAGCATGGCGCAGAGCATGGCACATGGCACAGGAAACGGCACGGCTAGGGATGGCGGGGGCGCAGAGGTGAATGTGAGTGGCGGCAGCAGCGGCAGCCTTGTAGCTGGGCACAGCGCTGCCTTCTGGAACCATATGATTGATCGCAGTGGCCTCCGGGGGTACCTCCCCCACTCCCTGCCCCACTCCCCGCCCGCCATGCCTGCTCCTGCTCCGAGCCTCCGTGCCGGATCGCCGAACCTGCCCGCCGGCCTGCGTGGCGGCTCGGGCAGCTTGGCGGGTTACAAGAGGCAGCTGTCCGGGGCAGCACGCGTGGAGCATGGGTCAGGGCGTGGGACTGGGCAGGGGTTGGGGCCAGGTGTTAAGTCGCCCTCCCCTGCTCCCTCTCCTGCTGCCACGCCCTCCGCTGCGTCTGCTCCCTGTCCTCCATCTGCTGCTGCCAGCGCTGCTGCTGCCTCCTCTGCTACTGCCGCTGCAGCTACGGCCGCTGCAGCAGCTGCTGCTACTGCCGCAGCGCAACGCCAGGCAGCGCCTGCCTTCCCGCGGCCCACCGTGCTGCCACCGGCGTCGCTACGGGATCGCTCTCCGTACCCACCTGCTCACCACGCCCACACGCACTCCTCGTCGGACGTCTTTTCTGCCCAGCACGCTACTCCCTCCCACGCTACTCCCGATCGCTGCTTCCCCACTCAGCAGATGCAGCAACAGCAGCAACAACAGCAACAGCAGCAACAACAGCAACAGCAGCAGCAGCAGCAGCAGCAGCAGCAGCAGCAGCAGCCTGATTTCCACTCGCCTCCCTCCGTGCCTGCTCTCTCTCTTCCCTCCAACCTCGCGGTAGCTGCGGCTGCTGCTGCCGCCGCTGCTGCTGCATCGGGCCTTCCACCACAACATCCCATCGTGCAATCACTAGCAGCCGCTGCTGCTGGCAATGCCATGCAGCAAATGCAGCAGCAGCAGCAGCTGCAACAACAGCAGCAGACCCAGCAGCAACAGCAGCAGTATCGGCCGTCCCACCATTCGCATGCTCTAGCAGCAGCAGCAGCAACGTTCGCCCATCTCCCTCCTGATGCAGCAGCAGCAGCCGCCGCAGCCTTCTCTCGCCTCCCCCCCGAAGCCCTTGCAGCCGCAGCCGCAGCAGCTGCTGCATCATCCAACAACGCACACACTACCCTCCCTCTCCCTTCCTCCCTCCCTCCTACAAACCCTTTCTCTTTCCTCTCGTCCCTCGCTGCTGCTCCAGCCATACCTCCCTCCCTGCCTTTTCCGGGAATGACAGCAGCGGCACAGTTTCTAGCACCGGGAGCAGCAGCCGCTGCAGCTGCAGCGGCAGCAGCGGCAGGGGGGAGTGGCATGGGTGCATACAACCCAACGATGCCTTTCCCTTCATGGCCTGACCCATCTGCTGCTGCCATGCTTTTCAATCCAGCTTCTGCTGCTGACGCTGCTGCTGGGGGGGCAGCAGGCGGAATGGGTGGAATGGGAGGAGCAGGAGGGATGGGAGGTTTGGGAGGAATGGGAGGGATGGGGGCATTGGGGGGAATGGGGGGAATGGGGCCAATGGGAGGGATGGGAGGAATGGGGGGAGGGGTGGTGGGTGCAGTGGGAGGGGGAGGGGCAAGTGCAGGTGGGGATGGGTTGATGGAGAGGCGGGTGGAGGGATACCAGCGTCGGGAGGCAGCTCTGAACAAATTCAGGCAGAAGCGCAAGGATCGGTGTTTTGAGAAAAAGATTCGGTACGTGAGCAGAAAGCGACTTGCGGAGATGCGACCACGGATGAAGGGGCAGTTTGTGCGGAAGAAGACAGCGGGGAAAGGGCATGGCGGGCAGCAGGAGAGCGAGGAGGAGGACGAGGAGGAGGAGGAGGATGAGGAAGAGGAGGAGGGAGGCAACGAGTAGCCCTATTGTGCTGGTTGCGGCACCAGCAGCACACGGTCAGCTGCATGCTGCCTTGGAGTGTGTGCTCCTGTGCTCATGTGCTTTGCCGCACACCGCACCACTCGTGTCTCCATACCTCCCCATACCCGCCATTTCATTCCTGTTCTGTTACATCCTCTCCCTCTTACCACCTATCTTCTGCACTCATCCCCTCCCCAGTCCTTGCTATTTTCTACCTGTTTTTCACTCGCTCACACCCTGCCACCAGTGCACTGGTGTACCTGACTTGTGTTGTTGTGCTTGCACGAGTTGCTCTCATAGCTTCACTCCACGGTTGCTCCGTGGCCGTGTAGCAAAATAACATCTAGCATACCTTAACATCCTTATTTGTTCCTTTCTATGTGCTTTTTGCTAGGCATGTGACCCTTGAGTTGCTACTGGTTGACAGCCTTTGCGTACCTACTAATGTCCTGCTAGAAGTAAGATGAGTTGCATGTACCGTATATACTGTATGAGGCTTGATAGTGTTGCTTTTAGTAGCTTACTGCACGAAAGTAAGCTCCTATAGGCGTCAGAGTAGGCTCCTCCCCCCTCCCACTAAGTGTAGATTCTGTCTGGGAAAACAGGAAACATAATTCCGTCTGGGGCCTAACAGTGATGGTGATTTATAATGGTGTATCGGGTGCCATTGTTCCGGTACAGACATGTTTCGGCAATTTTGTGTGTTCACAAACAAATATGAGACATGAAGCACTACATTACATCACGGCGTTGTGTCAGAACCTTGCGCTTCTGACAGGCGATTCCCGCTCAAACGGCGGGGCTGCGGAACCGACATGCTGCGGAAATTCCAAGGATATCCTCGCAAAACTCAACTCAGAATTTCGCGAGTCGTATGTTCTCCAAGCGAAGCGGGTATCCCCGTCAACAACGCTTTCACGAAGATGTACATCCGCCGACGGTGCGGCGGCCTGCACCTGAGCAGGGGAAATGGATTCTTGTCGCCTCTGTGAACTCATTCACCACGCTGAATCCGTCTGGACCCTGAATTTCACCACTGAAGCCGACTGTTTTTTGACTGATGATTGCCTCTTTCTCTCTTCCTAATCCTTTTTCCACCTTCCCTGAATGCCATTCCTTGTCTTGCTCACAGCAGCTTGCTCACGGATTCCGTCAGTATAAGCTAGCTAAGCCGACGTCCATGGCTGCCGCTATTTGTTACACACCATTAATGGTTATCAATCATAGTCTTAGACCTCGTAATCTTCAGATATGTTTATCTAAAGGTCGACAAGACGGAGATTACGAATCGTTGCAATCCATGGCTGTGTCTCCTGACGCGAACCAGTAGCCTTTTAACCTTAGTCGTAGCCATCGTTAAGAAGAAAACCGATCTTTACGTGTGTTCTAGTCGGACAGAGATATTCCAAGCTTAGATGCTGTAGTCATTTGGAGCAGTTTTATGTCCGTCATCGACGCATTACTCTCACTTGACTGCAGTTCTGATTTCTATTCCAGTATTTCGGAACAACTTAGACCGAGTATTCTAGACATCTGACGAGCGCGGAACAGAGGTTGTTTGCCGAGATTCCTCATACATCTTCTTCCGATCTCCATGCGCTCCTTCAATTAGCGAAGCGTCGGCGCTCTCCAGCAGCGAGAAAGGTTCCATTTGGTGATGACCGAGGCTGATATCGTGCCGGCGACAGCTTTCCGAATGATCTTACGAGGTTAGCAATGAGCATCTCGGACGTCGAATAGCGAGACGTCGCTATCTAACGGTGGTGACTGAGACGATGCGTTTTAACGGTGGCGAACGACACGGCCACTTCCAACGGTGGTAGCTGAGACTGTCAAGTCACGGCCGCTTCTGACGGTGACGAAAAGTACTAGTGCCGACGCTGACGACGGAACCGACGATATCTAGCAGTGACGATTGAAGTGACACTTTCCCACGGTGACGATCGGAGCGACTCTTTCCGACGGTAACGACCAGGCTTGCGATTTCTCACAGTGACTATCAAAGCGATGCTTCTTCGACGGTGACGATTGAAGTGACAAGTTCCGACGGCGACGATCAGGATTGCGAACGTTGACGATCTAAGCGACGCTTTCTGACGGCGACGACGGAGATGGTGTCTTCGGACGGTGACGATCAACAGTGCGGCTTCTCACGGTGACGATCGAAGCGACGATTTTTGAAAAGGGACCGAGACTGCGGGTGTTGCTGCTGACATTTTCAAAGCGACGTGCGGAAAGCGACTTGCGGAAAGCTACGTGCAACTTCTGAATCCTGCTTAAGTTTCCTCCACAACCCTTGCACTCCTCCCTTGCCCCCACCCGCCCTTGTCGTTGCACCACTCAGTTGTGTTGCTGCATCCCGCGTTTCACGACCCAAACAAACGTGCTCCTGTGAGGCGCATGGCAGCGGTGGGTCAGGGCGCATTGGCAGCTGAGCTCATTGGCACCTCTGCTTTCTGCCCTCTGCCATGACTACTTAAGGCCACGGCGGCCTCTCCATCTCCCATTCTTTCAGTTAGTGCTGGAAATTTTGGCGCTTCGCGCCTTCGTCCGCGCGTTAGGGATGGCAAGGGGAAACAACAAGCAGTAGTAGCTTAGGCAACCGATACAAACAAAGCAAGCATAGACACTTAGCAAGTAGAGGATGGAACGGGTCTATACGCGCAAGGGGGGAGCGCCTACATGCGGTCCGCCTCTACCGCAGCGAGCATTCCGCTCGTGTTCAACCACAACTGGCGGACCACAGACACGGTGGCGCCTACAACGTCAACAGGAGTACCAGGGCCTGCTACAAGCGTCCTCAGAGCCAGGGCCGAGTTAGCCAGCTGGCTGGCCGAGGTTGCTCCCGGCGAGGGCGCTACCTGCAGTGGCGTTACGAGCGCGAATAGCGCTGACGCCGCCGCATGACAATCTGCTCGCGGTTTCTGAGAGAACCTGCTCGGAGGGCTCACCGGCATGGAGTCAAATGACTCCTGGAGAATCCGCTCAAGGCTCTGCAGGGACGCCGCCAGCGACCATAGGCGGGCCAGGGTCGCCGTGGGAACTTCCTTCATCGGCGGAAGCAACGCATACGCGCGGGCACGGTGAGACGACACGGCGAGATCACGCGGAGCAGGAAGAGGACGCGGCGGAGCAAACTGAGCCCACGGCGGCCCGCCACCAGCACCTACGAAGCCCATCCCCGCAGGCAGCGGCCGCTCTGAACGCGCCGGGGATCCAAAGGGATTGTGGGGCAGGAGCGCGGAGAGAGGGACGACGGGAGCAGTGCGAGGAGCTGATGGTGACGCCGACCCAGCACGCGAGCGACGAAGCTCCTTCTCCACGTCATCAAGCCTATCCAGAAGACGGCGCTCCATTGCGGACGGCGCTGGACCCGCTTTTCCGCCGCGACTGTCACCTCCCCGTCGCCCACGACGCGCACGCCCACTTGCGCTCGAGCGCACAGGCGACTGCGGGCGAGATGGGCCCTGCTGACGCTGGCGGCCAGGAAAACGGTCCCCGCGACGAGGGGAGTAGAGCCGTTGGCGCTTTGCAGGAGGGGGCGAACGCGGAGCTGGGGGTCGACGCCCAGACGTCTGGCGGGCAGGCGACCGCTGGCGAGATGAACGAGGAGGGGGCGAACGATGACGATGCGAACGGCGGTCACGGGATCGGCTTCGCGACGCCACGCGACGAGGCGAACGAGGAGACAGCGGCGAACGGGCCGCACCGTGACGATCATCGCGGCGGCTCTCCCGCTTATCGTCGCGAGCTGCCGATGAGCGACGGCGAGGCGAACGCTCCTGGTGCGCCACAGCCTCTGCGCCGGAGCGCAAGACGGCCCCCGAGCGCAGGGGCTCCGGCGGTGACAAGGACCTGCCCGCGCGCCGAGCCAGCTCGCGCTGCTGGTCCTCGAAGCGGCGGCGGATCTGATCAGCGGACGCCGGTGGAGCAACAGGTACGCTCGCAGCAGGGCGTGCAGGAGGAAGCGGACGAGGAGCGGGATCGCTCTCCGCGGTGCAGTCGCGGCCCAGAGCGCCGAGGAAATCCATCAGCGAGCGCTCAGGGCGCTCCACTGCCACAAGAGGAGCCGACGATGCCGATCTCCCAGGCGCAACAGGCGGCACCTGTGGCAGCCACTCCGAGGAGCGGACGGGGAAGCACGCGGGGGAGAGGCGGGGGTCGAGGAGCGCGCGGAGGACAGCGGAGTGCAGGCCAAGCGGTGAGGGGGAATCCGCGCCAACTACCGAGCCCAATCTGGTTGGGGGAGCCGGCGGAACGAGTCACGCGCCAGTCGTTTGCTAGACGCGGGAGGAGAGGGGGAACGACAGCGCAAGCAATGAGAATCGGTGATACAAACGCAGAAGGGAGCGGCGGCGAATATGTACCGTCAGATCTGAGGCAACCCGACAACCTCGACTCACCTCTCGCGGAAGCGGGGGAGGACCAGGCGCAGCAGCAGGAGAGGGATTCTAGACGCCGACAGAACCGCAGACCCCAACCCCCTCCGGACCAAGCCCTGTCAGCGTCCCAGCTGGCATCGAGGGAGGATCTCTTTGAGATCGCGACGAGCTGGGACTCTTCAACCCTAACGTCAACCACCCACCTGCCTATCGTCCGCCGCCTGCCGCCGCAGATACTAAGCGACTACTCCACCTGTATGCTGGCCGCCCTCTTACGGATCTCCAAACTGCCCAACTGCGCGGGAGCGTGGCGGGTCCTCATGTTCCTGCCACGTCTCACCTTACGACTTAGCAGGAGGTCCAGCTCTAAGTGGAAGGTGCTGCGAGAGCAGATGCACCTATTCAGATGTGGCCACTGGAACCAGCTCTACAGTGACTACGTGGGGTCCCTGCACCAAGCTGAGCCACCTCAGCACCAAAACGACCCCCTGGGAATCTGCTCACGTGTGGAGGGGTTGGTGAAACGGGGTAACTTGCGAAAAGCGTTGGCAGCCCTTTCACCCTCGCCAGCGGCCCCTGCGACGATCGCAACATTGCAGCAGTTGGAATTGAAACATCCCCAACCCCAAGTTGAGCTGCCCGACTGGGTCCACACCTACACAACACCCACGCAATTTTCGTGCACCGCGGAAAGTTTCTCAGACGTCCTTGGGGATTGCCCCAACGGAGTTGGGGCTGGTCCATCCGGGTCAACATTTGAACACTACCGCGACCCAGCCCTAAGCAACATCGAAGTGCTGGGGCACCTACACTCCGCCGTAACACATCTTCTCTCCACGAATCTTTCCACCGAGGTTGCAGCACTACTCTCGCCATCCCGCCTCATCGCCTTTGCGAAACCAGGGGGGGGGGTACGCCCTATCGCAATAGGGGAATCCCTACTCCGGTTGGCAGCAAAGGTGGCACTCTCGGAACTGCAAGGAGAAACAAGGCGATTTTTCTTACCCCAACAATTCGGTGTGGCAGTCCCAGGCGGAGCTGAGTTCGTTATACATGCAGTCAGAGACCTCACCACTTCACAACCTTCCAGCCTAGTCCTCCAACTCGACATTGAAAACGCTTTCAACTCCGTAGAGAGGAAAGCGCTCTTCAACGCACTCGCCAACACCCCGCTAGCACCGCTCATACCTTTCACCCGCTCCTTCTACGCAACGCCTTCTCAGCTGCTGACCGATCCCCGCTTGAGCACGACGGCACTTACCAGCGGAAGGGGGGTGAGGCATGGGGACCCCCTCGGACCCCTGCTGTTCGCGGCATCAATCCAGCAGCACCTCAGACGCACAGCAGCAGAGCACCCAGAAGTCACGATCCTAGCATACGCAGATGACATCTCCATGATCGGACCGGCGACAGCAACGCTCGGCGCGCTTAAGTTGCTGAAGCCGCTGCTCGCACAGGATGGCCTCACCTGCAACCTCAGAAAATCGTCGGCGTGGTCCACGACGCCGCTTGAGGGTGACGAGCTCCCCGAGGGCCTCCCACTCACCCACGAGGGGGTACGGGTGTTGGGAAGTCCCGTGGGGTCACAGCGCTTCTGCGCTGACCTGGTCCGCAGTACTCTGACAGACGTGGCGGCACCCCTGGGCTCCCTAGCATCCATCCATCCACAGCATGCCCTCTTGCTCCTGTCCCGCTGCATCAGCCGCAGAATCGGCTACTTGCTGCGCACCACCCCAGCGGATGTCCTTCCCCTCTCGGAATGGCACGCGTGGTGCGCCGAACTGCTCAACACCGCCCTGACTGCCGCCAGCATCCAACCACCCCGCCGCGAAGCCGAGTTCAATTTTCTCATCCGCCAAGCAACCCTCCCAGTGGCCCTAGGTGGACTGGGCCTCACGGATCCCACAACAGAAGCAGCACCAGCCTACCTGGCCTCAACGACAGAGGCACTACGCCTGCTCCGCTCACTCGACCTGCCAGCAACCGCGACGCTAGGGAGCAACAGCAACGCCCTGCAGCCGTCTGCGGCACACTCAGTCACCATCCAAGACATGGAGGGACGACTGCCGCCGCTGGCGCTGCAATACCTCCGTGAGGAGCAAGAAACCCCGTCCCAAGACCAGCTGCAGCGGGCCCTCTCTCAGGAAGTGCACGCGGCAAAGGCCGACACCCTGACAGAGGAATCACGCTCAATCAGGTCAGCCCCCGAGATGGGCCACACGCTCCGCCTCGTCAGCCTGAGAGGCGAGGGAGCGGGAGCATGGCTGCAAGCCCTATCCCTGACCCCAGACCTCTGCTTCTCACCAGGGCAATTCCGAACAGCCCTGGCCTTCCGCATGGGCATCCGACAGAACGTACCTACCGTGTGCGAGTGTGGAGAGCTCGTGGCCGACTGCAGCCTACCCAACCACCTACTCCGCTGCAGCACAGGCCCGGACAGAACGCGCACACACAACCAACTGGCCTTTGCCGTGGCAAAAATGGCGAGGGAGGCGCAGCTGGTGGTATACCTGGAGAATGCAATGTACTCACCACCGGATGACCCGAAGAAGGCCGATGTGATCGTGCGTGACCCAGACAGTGGAGAGACCTGGATCACAGACACGACTATCACCGACCCCGTGCTACAGAACCGGGACCCCACAGCCCGCAAACCCCCAGGCTGGGCTGCAAGGGAGGCTCAGAGGCGGAAGGAGAGGGACTACTACAGGCACACCGAACACGTGGTGTTCTGCGCCCTGGCCGTCGAGACATACGGGGCAAACGCGCCCCCCACGACAGCGTTCCTTAAGCTGCTGGCCACAGCAGCGGCTAGGAACTGGTTCAGGGCCAACCCCTTGGCCAAATCGGCCAAGAAGATGGCCTGCCACTTCAGCCAACGCTGGTCAGTGGCCCTCCAGCGCTCCCAAGCGAATGCCCTGCACACCAAGGCCAGGGCGGGGATTGAGGCAGCGCACCCCCAGATGGCAGCGGACCCATGGCCGCTGCACCTAGGGGACATCCTCCACACGCTGGAGGGTTAGAGGGGCACTAAGGGGGGGGGGGGGGAGGGTCAGAGGGATGGGTCGATGGGTCGGAAGGTATAAGGGAACCACGAGTCAAATTGCATGTCTGTACCCCTTGCCGAATTAATACAAAGGACCATTTGAGAGAGAGTGGGTGTAGCATAGAGTAGCAGTGCATTCATGCCATGCTCGCGTCTCTCTCTTCCCCAGTCCCCCCTCGCTGCCTTTGCTCGCTGCCATGCTGCCCTTGGCCCCACCGTCTCCATGCGCCTTCCCCTCCCACCCCTCCCCGACCACTCACTTGTCGTTCCGCTCTGCTCACCATTCACTGCATGCATGCTTGCCGTTTTTTGTTGCATGCATGCTTGCCGTTCTATGTTGCATGCATGCATGCCGTTTTTTCCTTCCGCCACTTGCGTACGTACCCCCTGCTTATCATATCACTTGTCTTCTCACCTCAACTCTCTGCTCCGTTAAGGTGTGTCCCTCTTCTCATCTCTTCCTACCTGCATCCCTCTATTAGCGCACCTACAAGGCGGCAGGGCAGCAGCAGGGAGCCAGGAGGAGCAGTGGGAGCAGCGTGGTGAGCGGGAGAGGCGAGCGGTGGGATGACGCACGGCCTGGGCTGGCCGTGCTGATCACTGCTGCCGAGTTGCTGGACTACTGCAGGGAGGGCTGTTGCTGGCAGTGTCAAGATCCCTCTGCTCCTCATGCGACTGCTCGTCAAGAGTTCCTCATACCCTGTCTTCTTCCTGCTTGTTCTCCTTTCTTTTTTCGCTTATCGAATCTTGCCCGAAACAAAAACGTTGCTTTTTCTTGGGAGGGATTAAAAGTTGACTGAGGGACATGGGCGGCGTGTGGCGATGGTAGCACATGGCACTGGGGCGGCTTGAGCTCACACTAGAGTCCTAGAGGGTTAGAATGCACTCACACTCACGCCCGCGTCTCGTCCCCCTTGCCTGCTAGCTCGCCAACCTAGTGCCATGAGCTACCATCGCCTACCCTTTCACTGTGCCACTGTTGTTTAACTTCCAGCTTTTACTCTCTCTCACAGTATTATGCCTCCGTTTTGTTTTCCTGCCGTTATCCCTGCCGCTTTACAATTTGACAATCACGCCCATGCTTATATTAGACAAACTTCTTCAATTCCTGCCCCCTTCTGCCTTCTCTCCTCTCTCCCACTCGCTCCCTTCCCTCTCCGAAACTTTCCCCCTCTCGCACAGGGCTGCGGCAGCGTGATGCGGGGAGGGAGGGCGGTGGGATGACGCACGGCAGGCAGTCACGGCGGCGTGCGTGCCTCCTGCATGCCCTGCTGACCACGTCGCTCCCTCACGCGCCCAGCGACCTTGAGTGCTGCTGCTGGGAGTGTTGCTGCCGGGAGTGTCGCTGCTGGGAGGGCTGCGGCTGGCATTGACAAGGCGACGAGCAGCTTCAGAATCCCGCTAAGTTCCCTCCTCAACCCTTGCCATCCTTACCGCCGCTTTACATTGTAATTCGTGTTCATATTTGCCCAGCCTCTCTTTTTAAGCATGCTTCGAACCAAAACGCCGCCTTCGCATGAAGGTATTAAAAACGTTTGCGTGTCCCACTTGCCTGCTAGCTCGCCAACCTAGTGACATGAGCTACCATCGCCTACCCTTTCACGGTGCCACCTGTTGTTTAACTTCCAGCTTTTACTCTCACAGTAATATGCCTCCGTTTCGTTTCAATTGCGCCCATGCTTATATTAGACAAACTTTCTACAATTCCTGCCCCCTTCTGCCTTCTCTCCTCTCTCATACTCGCTCCCTTCCTTCTCCTAAGATTTCCCTCTCTCGCACAGGGCTGTGGCAGCGTGGTGCGGAGAGGGAGGGCGGTGGGATGACGCACGGCAGGCAGTCACAGCGGTGTGCGAGCCTCCTGGAAGTCTGTCGCCACTGTCTTGCAAACAACCCCATACGACTAAGTTCTTTCTCCCTTCGCCCTTGCCATCCTTGCCGCTTCTGCTTCGTCTTTATGATTGCCCACTGTTGTACCGCATTCTTTCGTCACCGCATGCTCGAAACAAACGAGGTCACTTTCGAATGCGAGCGATCAAAAGTCGAGAGAGAGATGAGCGGCGTTTTGACGATGGTAGCGCATGGCACTATGGTGGCTTGAGCTCAAACTAGAGTCGTAGGGGGTAGAGTAGAATGCCCGCGCCCCTTCCTTACCTCGTCCCCTTGCCTGCTAGCTCACCGCTCTAGTGCTGTGTGCTACCATCGCCTGCCCTTTCAAATCGTCACAGTGCCACGTGCTTTTTATCTATAACTGTTGTCGCCCGACCATGCGCCCGACCATGCGCCCGACCATGCGCCCGACCATGCGCCCGACCATGCGCCCGACCATGCGCCCGCCCATGCGCCCGCCCATGCGCCCGACCATGCGCCCGCCCATGCGACCACCCTTGCGCCCACCCATGCGCCCACCCATGCGCCCACCCATGCGGCCACCCATGCGGCCACCCATGCGACCACCCATGCGCCCACCCATGCGTCCACCCATGCGCCGGCCCACCATGCGCCCACCCATGCGCCCACCCATGCGGCCACCCATGCGGCCACCCATGCGCCCACCCATGCGGCCACCCATGCGCCCACCCATGCGCCCACCCATGCGGCCACCCATGCGACCACCCATGCACCCACCCATGCGCCCACCCATGCGGCCACCCATGCGACCACCCATGCGCCCACCCATGCGCCCACCCATGCGCTCGCCCACCATGCGCCCACCCATGCGCCCACCCATGCGCTCGCCCACCATGCGCCCACCCATGCGCTCACCCATGCGCCCACCCAGCCCTCCTCCCCCACTCGCTTCCTCCACTCCCCACGCTTCGTCCTTTTAAGGACCATCCAGCCCTCCTCTCCCATCTCGCTTCCTCCACTCCCCTCGCTTCCTCCTCCCAAGGGCCATCCAGCCCTCCTCTCCCACCTCGCTTCCTCCACTCCCCACGCTTCCTCCTCCTAAGGGCCATTCAGCCCTCTTCTCCCGCCTCGCTTCCTCTACTCCCCTCGCTTCCTCCTCCTAAGGGCCATCCAGCCCTCCTCTCCCCCCTCGCTTCCTCCATTCCCCTCGCTTCCACCTCCTAAGGGCCATCCAGCCCTCCTCTCCCACCTCGCTTCCTCCACTCCCCACGCTTCCTCATCCTAAGGGCCATCCAGCCCTCCACTCCTCTGTGATGTGAGGCGGGCGCCACTCCTCTGTGATGTGAGGCGGGCGCCACTCCTCTGTGATGTGAGGCGGGCGCCACTCCTCTGTGATGTGAGGCGGGCGCCACTCCTCTGTGATGTGAGGCGGGCGCCACTCCTCTGTGGTGTGAGGCGGGCGCCACTCCTCTGTGATGTGAGGCGGGCGCCACTCCTCTGTGGTGTGAGGCGGGCGCCACTCCTCTGTGATGTGAGGCGGGCGCCACTCCTCTGTGGTGTGAGGCGGGCGCCACTCCTCTGTGATGTGAGGCGGGCGCCACTCCTCTGTGGTGTGAGGAGGGCTCCACTCCTCTGAGATGTGAGGCGGGCGCCACTCCTCTGTGATGTGAGGCGGGCGCCACTCCTCTGTGATGTGAGGCGGGCGCCACTCCTCTGTGATGTGAGGCGGGCACCACTCCTCTGTGGTGTGAGGCGGGCGCCACTCCTCTGAGATGTGAGGCGGGCGCCACTCCTCTGTGGTGTGAGGAGGGCGCCACTCCTCTGTGATGTGAGGCGGGCGCCACTCCTCTGTGATGTGAGGCGGGCGCCACTCCTCTGTGATGTGAGGCGGGCGCCACTCCTCTGTGGTGTGAGGCGGGCGCCACTCCTCTGTGATGTGAGGCGGGCTCCACTCCTCTGTGGTGTGAGGCGGGCGCCACTCCTCTGAGATGTGAGGCGGGCGCCACTCCTCTGTGGAGTGAGGCGGGCGCCACTCCTCTGTGGTGTGAGGCGGGCGCCACTCCTCTGTGGTGTGAGGCGGGCGCCACTCCTCAGTGATGTGAGGAGGGCTCCACTCCTCTGTGATGTGAGGCGGGCGCCACTCCTCTGTGATGTGAGGCGGGCGCCACTCCTCTGTGGTGTGAGGCGGGCGCCACTCCTCTGTGGTGTGAGGCGGGCGCCACTCCTCTGTGGTGTGAGGAGGGCGCCACTCCTCTGAGATGTGAGGCGGGCGCCACTCCTCTGTGGAGTGAGGCGGGCGCCACTCCTCTGTGGTGTGAGGCGGGCGCCACTCCTCTGTGATGTGAGGCGGGCGCCACTCCTCTGTGATGTGAGGCGGGCTCCACTCCTCTGTGATGTGAGGCGGGCGCCACTCCTCTGTGATGTGAGGCGGGCGCCACTCCTCTGTGATGTGAGGCGGGCGCCACTCCTCTGTGGTGTGAGGCGGGCGCCACTCCTCTGTGATGTGAGGCGGGCGCCACTCCTCTGTGATGTGAGGCGGGCGCCACTCCTCTGTGGTGTGAGGCGGGCGCCACTCCTCTGTGATGTGAGGCGGGCGCCACTCCTCTGTGATGTGAGGCGGGCGCCACTCCTCTGTGATGTGAGGCGGGCGCCACTCCTCTGTGATGTGAGGCGGGCGCCACTCCTCTGTGATGTGAGGCGGGCGCCACTCCTCTGTGATGTGAGGCGGGCGCCACTCCTCTGTGATGTGAGGCGGGCGCCACTCCTCTGTGATGTGAGGCGGGCGCCACTCCTCTGTGATGTGAGGCGGGCGCCACTCCTCTGTGGTGTGAGGCGGGCGCCACTCCTCTGTGGTGTGAGGCGGGCGCCACTCCTCTGTGGTGTGAGGCGGGCGCCACTCCTCTGTGGTGTGAGGCGGGCGCCACTCCTCTGTGATGTGAGGCGGGCGCCACTCCTCTGTGGTGTGAGGCGGGCGCCACTCCTCTGAGATGTGAGGCGGGCGCCTCTCCTCTGTGGAGTGAGGCGGGCGCCACTCCTCTGAGATGTGAGGCGGGCGCCTCTCCTCTGTGGTGTGAGGCGGGCGCCACTCCTCTGTGATGTGAGGCGGGCGCCACTCCTCTGTGATGTGAGGCGGGCGCCACTCCTCTGTGGTGTGAGGCGGGCGCCACTCCTCTGTGATGTGAGGCGGGCGCCACTCCTCTGTGGTGTGAGGCGGGCGCCACTCCTCTGTGGTGTGAGGCGGGCGCCACTCCTCTGTGGTGTGAGGCGGGCGCCACTCCTCTGTGATGTGAGGCGGGCGCCACTCCTCTGTGGTGTGAGGCGGGCGCCACTCTTCTGTGGTGTGAGGCGGGCGCCACTCCTCTGTGATGTGAGGCGGGCGCCACTCCTCTGTGATGTGAGGCGGGCGCCACTCCTCTGTGGTGTGAGGCGGGCGCCACTCCTCTGTGGTGTGAGGCGGGCGCCACTCCTCTGTGGTGTGAGGCGGGCGCCACTCCTCTGTGGTGTGAGGCGGGCGCCACTCCTCTGTGGTGTGAGGCGGGCGCCACTCCTCTGTGGTGTGAGGCGGGCGCCACTCCTCTGTGATGTGAGGCGGGCGCCACTCCTCTGTGATGTGAGGCGGGCGCCACTCCTCTGTGATGTGAGGCGGGCGCCACTCCTCTGTGGTGTGAGGCGGGCGCCACTCCTCTGTGATGTGAGGCGGGCGCCACTCCTCTGTGGTGTGAGGCGGGCGCCACTCCTCTGTGATGTGAGGCGGGCGCCACTCCTCTGTGATGTGAGGCGGGCTCCACTCCTCTGTGATGTGAGGCGGGCGCCACTCCTCTGTGATGTGAGGCGGGCGCCACTCCTCTGTGATGTGAGGCGGGCGCCACTCCTCTGTGGTGTGAGGCGGGCGCCACTCCTCTGTGATGTGAGGCGGGCGCCACTCCTCTGTGATGTGAGGCGGGCGCCACTCCTCTGTGGTGTGAGGCGGGCGCCACTCCTCTGTGATGTGAGGCGGGCGCCACTCCTCTGTGATGTGAGGCGGGCGCCACTCCTCTGTGATGTGAGGCGGGCGCCACTCCTCTGTGATGTGAGGCGGGCGCCACTCCTCTGTGATGTGAGGCGGGCGCCACTCCTCTGTGGTGTGAGGCGGGCGCCACTCCTCTGTGGTGTGAGGCGGGCGCCACTCCTCTGTGATGTGAGGCGGGCGCCACTCCTCTGTGTTGTGAGGCGGGCGCCACTCCTCTGTGGTGTGAGGCGGGCGCCACTCCTCTGTGATGTGAGGCGGGCGCCACTCCTCTGTGGTGTGAGGCGGGCGCCACTCCTCTGTGATGTGAGGCGGGCGCCACTCCTCTGTGGTGTGAGGCGGGCGCCACTCCTCTGTGGTGTGAGGCGGGCGCCACTCCTCTGTGGTGTGAGGCGGGCGCCACTCCTCTGTGGTGTGAGGCGGGCGCCACTCCTCTGTGGTGTGAGGCGGGCGCCACTCCTCTGTGATGTGAGGCGGGCGCCACTCCTCTGTGATGTGAGGCGGGCGCCACTCCTCTGTGATGTGAGGCGGGTGCCACTCCTCTGTGATGTGAGGCGGGCGCCATGCGCCCGCCCATGCGCCCACCCATGCACCCACCCATGCGACCAACCATGCGCCCACCTATGCGCCCACCCATGCGCCCACCCATGCACCCACCCATGCGCCCGCCCTTGCGCCCGCCCTTGCGCCCGACCAGAGCGATGAGCGAAGCAGAGGTACATGAACGGATATGAGGTTGAAGATTTGAGATGTGGTGAGTCGTCTCTGACAAATCCTCTTTCCTCGTATTCAAGGTGGCCTGCTCCTTTGATCCTCTACACATCGCTGCACGTTATGCTTCACTCTCACCTTTTTGTCAATCTCCTCTCCTTACCTTCGCTCTTCTATCTTCAGATGCCTTATTGCTCGGCTCTTCCTCTCCTCTTTGTTCACATGCCTTTTCCCCTCACGTTTTCTGCTTCAGGTGTGGCTAGAGTAACATTTTGGTAGCAGCATTGGAGCACGAGGGTGCACAAGAATAGCACGTGCTTTGAGGCTTTTTCTAGTGGTGAGTTTCTGTACCCAACCTTTTCTCTTCCGCACCAATACCCCTTCCAACCCCACAGTTCCTGTCCATGTCTCGCAGTCCTTTGCCTTCCGTGCCCATTTTTTTCTCTACCCAGCAACACAATTCCACTGTGGCTGATTGTTTTTTGTAAGGATCCATGAGCTTCATCCTTACCCTTCCACATGCTTCAAGGACCTTGCAATGTTTTCGTCGCCTCTCATGTGCCAACCTCTCATGTGCCAACCTCTCTCTTCGCCTCTCATGTGCCAACCTCTCTCTTCGCCTCTCATGTGACAATCTCTCTCTCGCTGCGTTTTGGGTGTGTTGTTGACATTACAGTGAGGCGGGGTGGAGAGTAAGCGCTGGAACGAACTGAAGAGTACTGTAGTAGAACTAATTGGAGCGGCCAGCTGGTGAAGACATCACCGTTGCATGTGAAGGTGAGGAAATAACAACTAAACACAGACTGAACCCCAGAAACGTCATGTCATATCATACCATCATATCATCTACATTGTGCCCAAATCGAACAACACCCATCATTTCACATCAGGCTCAACTCTTGTCTGCTTGCAGGGCAACCAACGACGATCCTTTTGGAAGTGAAGATGGAGGATGAAGGCCACATATGCCAGAGCTGAAGAATATAGGAAATATGATAAGATAGGTTATCTAGGCTGGTAAAACTCTCAGGTGTGGTATCCCCCCCTCTCCCCCTTAACTCCCAAAGATCCCAACCACCACCCCCCCCCCCCCCTCATCCTTAATGTTTTCCCCCAGTCCCGCTCCCTCCCCCCCCCCTGCGTAGGACTCCCCCCCCCCCCCCCCCCCCCACCTCCCCCCCGGATTGCTCCTTCGTTTTCCTCCCCCTGCAACCCGCCTCCTTTTGCGACCCACCTCCCTATGGGACCCACCTCAGCAACCCCCACGTAGGCCAGGCACAGGGCTAACCGCACGGCTAACCACAGGGCTAGTCACAGGGATCCGCTGGGCTAATCGCAGGGCTAACCACAGGGAAAAGCGCAGGGATAACCACAGGGCTAACCACAGGGAAAAGCGCAGGGATAACCACAGGGCTAACCACATGGATAAGCGCAGGGATAACCACAGGGCTAACCACATGGATAAGCGCAGGGATAACCACAGGGCTAACCACATGGATAAGCGCAGGGATAACCACAGGGCTAACCTCATGGATAAGCGCAGGGATAACCACAGGGGTAACTGCGGCGCCAACAACAGGGTTAGTCACAGGGCGAATCACAGGTCTAACTACAGGGCTACCACAAAATTGATCACGAGGTTAATCACAGGGCTAACCACAGGGCTGATCGCGGGCTATCCACAAAGTTAATCACAGAGTTTGCACGCTAATCACAGAGCTTGTGCCTTGACGCATGCTACTACCGCAGTAAGTCCTCTACGAGGACTGTTACCGTACTTGCCTTCCTGTGTACAGTGGACATTTTGCTGCTTCGCGTGTCCACATCATACCCGTACAAGCATGTGAGTATACACACATATGGAATGACGCACCGTATGAGACCAGACCATGCTCCCAGTCACAGTTACATCACCACGTTTAGAGCATGTATCAGTAGTTACAAGTTGGACTAACAACGAATATACAGGTAGCTGATAGACTTCAGCCAAGAACCACTTGTTAGGTCTACACTATACTGGATGATCAACCATGCTAGCAGGGCAGCTCCAGCCTTGTCAGCCTCTACCGTATATCCCCTTGCCTGTGACCCCTTAGCCTGGGCCACACAATGAACACACTGATGTCATGACAGCAGCTGGAGCAGCTCACCAGGAGAGCTCTGCTTGCCGTGAACACCATCATGCGCAGACAGGAAAGTGCTGCTGTGCTGCTGATGCATCCCCTCCTCAATCCCAGATCTGCAAAGAGACCGCCACGGGTTAGCTGCAGCACCTGGTGCGGGAAACGAGGCTGGTGGGTAGAAATCTGGCGCTTCTACTGTTGCATGCGAGTCGAGTGATTCCGATCCTGCTCTCACTCCTGCGGCGCTGCTTCCTCCCAGGTCTGTCCGGAGCTGCAGGTTCGGCGGGACGAATTGCGGCGAGTCTGAGGTTGGGGCATGCATGAGCTTTGGTCGTCTGGCCACAGGTGCCAGTAGCAGTGCACTGCTCTCCTCGGGGCCTCTGCTGCTCTTGGACCCGCTCAGTCCACTCAGTCTGCTTCCACTGACGCCACTGGCCATGGGAGACAGACAGCTGGCAGGGCTCTCCGTGCGCTCTGGTGCCGCCCGCGCGCCGCCCGCTGCTGCTGTCGGTGCGGCTGGGGTTTTGTGGGTCTCCATTGCTGATGGAACAGCAGGTGGCGTGCATGGTCTGAGACGCTGCTGCTTCTCGCTCTCTGATTGTTGCTGTTGTTGCTGCTGTTGCTGCTGCTGCTGTTGCTGCTGCTGTTGCTGCTGCTGCTGCTGTTGCTGCTGCTGTTGCTGCTGCTGCGGTGCAGCACTCAGCTGCTGCTGTTGATATGATGGGGGTAAGTAAGCAGCAGCGGATGGAACACCACCAGTTGCTATCTGTCCCGAAGTACTCTGTACTTGCTGGCTTTGCGGGACCGCCACGTGTCCGAACGTCATTGGCTGAAAGCCAGTCACGGAAAACCCAGGAACCGCTGGCGGTGGTGGAGTTGGAACCATCATCACTCCGGCTGGCGCCGCGCTGGGAAAGGTGGACGCGGGGGCGGTAGACCCATGGACAGCCGGCCAATAGGAGATCATCTGACCGGCCGCGACCATCGGCTGGCCGGCAGACAGAACGGAAGCGCCAGCGGCCGGCACGGAGACGGCGGCGTTGGGTTGGTAGATGCCAGGTGCGGCATACATGTTGTGTAAATGCGCCATCTGCTGCTGCTGCTGCTGTTGTTGTTGCTGCTGCAGCTGCTGTTGTTGTTGCTGCTGCAGCTGCTGTTGCATCAGTTGCTGCGGAAGGTAGCTCCCCGCGACACCGCCTACGAGCGGCCCACTCACGCCGCCTGCAGCGCCTGGTAAGGCGGCGAGCGCGGAGGCCGTCGCGGGCAGTCCGCCACGTGGCCTCAAGACGCCCATTGCGCCGGGGAAGAACGGCGCGCCGGCGGGAAAAACGGGCGGCGGGAACGACGAAGGTGCAGCGGAGTTTCCGACCATCATGACAGGCCCCGATGACGTCATCACAGTGGGAGTAGGGAGCGCACAAGCGGCTACGATTGGCCGGACAGTGGGAGCGGGGACCTGGGGAGCAGGGGGATTGGTCGTGAGAGTGACGGCCGGAGAGGAAGTGTCAGATATCGGCTTTATCGACCCCCCGCGAAGCACGGCGTCCACCGCGGCCTCGCAGAAATGCCACTGGCCCGTCCAGAGCAGGCCCGACGCGCCGTAGACGGGATTGATGGTGCGGCCGCATGCCTCGAAGAGCAGCGACTGGAAGAGCGCGGGCCGTTGGATCTCCTCGACCCCAGAGATGAAGCCCATTAGGCCCGCGCGGCCGTAGAACTTGGCGAGGAAGAGCGTCGCGTGGCCCTGCGCCTCCGCGCCGTCGATCCCGGCGAGGCAGTGGCGGATCACGCAGCTCTCGCTGCAGCCTTTTCGTAACACGCGACAGCCGTTGCAACTCATGGCGATTGCTCAACGAGACGTTGTTGAGCGATGCGCTGTTCTTGAAGCGTTTTATCTTGATTACCAAATGAGTCACTTTTGTTCTCACAGGAATCGCTGGAGCGCCAACTAACGACGTGCACTAGAAGCTGACCCAAACATCTGCGTTATCACTTCTGGTCGTCTGAGGAGCTTCGTTATTATGCTGCCATCACCCTTCAGTCACAGGTATATAACGGAATGAGCGAGGGCGGGAGGATGAGAGGGGGATCAGTTGTAGTTGTGGTTGTTGGAAGGAACACACAGAAGCAACTGCAGCCTCACTGGAGGGGAACAAAGTGAATGGGAGCGAAGCTAACTAATGGAGCAGATCTCCGATCAGATTGTCGTTGTCGGGTCGAGGCGGGACGGGATCGTTGCCAAGTGCTCAGCTTGCCCGCTCGCCTGCCTGTTTTCAGCCAAGCCGAGCCGCGTCACTTTTGTAGATCTCCCCAAGCAAGCCAACGAACAGCCTATGAATCGAAAGACGCGGTCCCTCAAGCTGATCGGATCAGGTTAGGAAGGTCCGCGCAGACGTGGCACAGGGCAAAGTTGCGCGACGCGCCGGCGCGCGAACTTTTTTCAACTCCATCGACCAGCTTCGCACCGCAGGTAGGGCGACCGAACCCCTCGCAAATAAATCGATTTACACGCGCTTACGCGATATTGACAACCAAGTTAATGTGAAAGAATTGGTGGTCTTCCTAATTGTCACTGTCTCGCGCGGGAAAATGTTTGCCAGGTGGTGTTCGTGTTTTCGTAAAAAACAAGGTCGCAATTGTGGCTACATTGCCGTGACCTTACAAGATGGGTTTTCAGTTGACAAAGTACGGTTTTCAAAACTGCACGCCAAATGCGCAGTTTCATCGCTTATGGGGCAGGGTTACTGCCCGTTTTTCGTTTACAACGCAGAGTTAGTGCGATTTCTACGCAGTTCGACGCTAATTAAATTAAAGATCCGAAAACGACAAGCCTACTGTGTAAGAGAAAACAGTTTAGCCCAGTCGGGTGTTTGACATTTTTCAAGCCCATATAGAGAGAGCATCAAACCTAGATACTCTTTCACATATTGTTTAGGGTTGATGCCTCCCTCGATGGCAGCCATAATATATATATATAATCCGTCGCAAAGAGCATCAAACCTAAACACTTTCGCCCAATGTTTCGGGTTTATGCTCCCTAAACACTTCCGCCCGGTGTTTAGGGTTGATGCTCCCTAAACAGCATGCCATCTGAGAGGGTAATATATTTTTGTCTGCCCAAAAATCGGGTGCAAACGGTTCGATGGCCGTCAATCCAAGCGGAGTTGTTGGTCCGTCTACATTGTGACCAATGAAAACTTTACTGCGTAGAAATCTCACTAACTCTGCGCTGTGGTCGAAAACTGGGTAGTAACAGTGCGCCAGAAGCGACAATGCTGCGCTTTTGGCGTATAGTTTCAGTAACAATGCGGGATCAACTAAAAACCCTTGCAAGATTCGGTTATTTTGTCTGTTTACGAAGGCGCAAAAATGTTTCGTGTGCATGTCAGGTTTTTTGTCTACATGTTTTTTTTTTGCACGTGTCAAACGCGATTTTCTGAAACATCTACGGAGCTCTGAATCTAAGCAAGGGCTGAAAAAAAAAATAAACCCCTAGAGGCAGGAACGCAATTTGGGAGGCATCAACCCTAAACACGGGAAGCATGGTGTTTAGGGTTAATGCTTTGAATATGGTGGAATTCGGGAGGGATCAACCCTAAACACGGGAACTTTCAAGGTGTTTAGGGCTGATGCATTGAAAGTGTGCCTGGCTCCCTACGGAATTTAGTTCGTTTTACACCGTAAAAAAAACCAGACCAAACAAAAACAGCATAAGACAAGCCTTGTCTGCGCGCCCAGACTGAGGTGACGTAACACGTCGCAAAATTTGTCTTTGCTGAAAGGATCGAAACCCAAGCTGCAATCCCGCAATTCTGGCCGTAAAACCAAATGGCACCTGTGACGTCGATATCAACTCGTTCGCAGCATGAAAATAACGTGGAAGCGCATGTAGGTAGAACCATTTGGACGAGGTTCGGTCGCCCTACCTGCGGTGCGAGTTTGGTCGATGAGTTTGAAAGAAGTTCGCGCTTCGCGCAATTTCTCCCGTGGCACAGGCTCTGCTTAGGGCGTGTCTGAAGTGAATTTCGACGTTTGCCGACGAAACTTTCGTCGACGTTCCTTGACGAAACTCGACATCCGTTTTCAGCTGTGTTCACTTCAGACACCCACACGAAAAAATAACCCACACGTGCCATAGGAACACTGTTATAAGTTGCCCATGAAAATTCGACGTGGAATTAACAGAATCATTCATGTAACTCAATTGTTTGCAATCTCGCGAATTTCGCTTAGCATAGATTGTTGCTGGTAGCACCGGATATTCTACTGTCACATTGCCAGCGAAATTTCTCTAGCACGTGTCGCTCTCGTCTTAGTTCTTATTCACGTGTGTTTTGCCACAGCTATGCAGACATGGCGTGTCGAAGAATTGTTTTTGAAACACTCGCTGACTACAGTGACTCAAACAGCTGCCCGGTATCACTGTTCGACATCCCTCGACATGTGCACGAACGTCGAGTTTCGTCGAGGGATGTCAGGCTGCACTTCAGACACCAACACGCGTGGGTCCCACGGATGAGTTTCGTCGACGAAATTTGACGAAACTCGACGTTTGCACTTCAGACACGCCCTTAGGCTTGTTGCGAAGCGAGGCTTTCTCCCAGTCGGCTTGGCAAAGTTGGTTGAAGTTTGTCGCTGCTTTTGCCAGGGCAGCTTGGATAAGATATTTGCTGTGCACCAATTGCGAATTGTAATCCATGCCGCAGCACAGCACCATCAATGTCTGCACATCTGACGCACGAAGTTCTTCTCTGTAGCTGGGAACAGAAACGTCAGCCCAACACAATTCCACGTCAAACAGGTGCTTCACTTACTCATAATAATGGCTCACCACCGAGGCTCCCGATTCGCGGCGTCGCCCCTAATGTTCTGTACCACACATCACCGCAGTTAAAGCGTGTGAGCCTTATCCAATGAGTCACTGATGACATGGATGACGCACGCGACGCTCAGCACTCCCCTACGTTTCTGGAAACTGTCTGGAATACCACGATGCGATTGGAGAGCACCGCCGACCTTGCCATGTCACTCCCGTGGTTCGTTGATTGCTCCACTTTATTGGGGCGGACGTTGGAGGATGACAGAGCGCCCGCAAAAAAGTTGGGTAAAACATGTTCGTGAATCGTCAGCCAAAAACTACAAGGCGTTGTTCTGAAGGTCATCGTGGCTTTGCTTCTACAGAAACTGTATTTATAGTGCTCTACACGTTTCGTGCCCTTCAGTCAGTGGACTCGCGGTCAGCAATCTGAAAAACTGCATGTGAAGTTGGGAAACTCCGTGTGAAGGCGTTTCTTTACTCGCTGGTTCTCCATTCTAGCCGCGCACGGGTGATAGCAACGAATCGGGATAAAACATGTGTAGCCTTTTCCTGGCATCTGGGTCGTGTGCTTGGAACGAGCGTTTGGACAGCGATATTGTTGCACCACAAATCTTAGTAATATATTCAATTGTTCAGCAGAGCTATGGATGTATTGATTTCTAATTGCATTCTCAGATCAACAAAATAATAACTGACATACAGCCCAGGTTTGATTGAAAATGTTACTGTATGCAGTACTGATTGCTAAATCCACAGCAAATAATATTTAGGCTTAATCAAATTGTGGAAATATAGGTCCTTTCAACATATAGTCAGCCACAGTTTTCATGCTTTAAGCACGTCTAAAAGTATTCTCCTCTATCTATGTTCATCCCACTTCTCAAGCCCCATTCTATTAGCCGAATATCTTTTCTTAATGTAGTGGCATGTTGTTGCATGTAGTGAGCCCATATATTCATCCAATGAGACGCTGTTTTCCAGCGGTGGTGGTGGTTAGCCACTTCAAATAATGACTCCACACGCTCGTTACACATTGCAACTTTCCAGGTTCGACCTCTTCATAAGCACAAACAGATTAGAGGTCGATGAGGGTCGGCTTCCCAAATTATGGGAGGAGTCACGCTGCTCTCGAGAATTGCTTCGCAGGCACTTGGATTCAACTCCCCAACCAATCAGAGGCGGTGCTCAGATGGCTCGGCGCCAGCCATCGAGGGTGTCGCGCGCATCAGCACTGTTCATGGCTTCTATGCGTTTCTTCATACTCCCATCCCATGATCCCATGATTCCACCATCCCATCATCCAAGCACACGTCCTTCAAATTGCTTGCTCACCACTTTCAAGGTCTCTCTAGAGTCCATAGCCATCACACACGGACTAAACAAATCTTCCATTTTTCCACGGTAGGACTTGCTGTTTTTCCTTGGAGTCTAGCTTCTGATAGGCTGTAGGCCATGGATCCAGCTGTGGCGATCGTGTTGGGCCAGGATCCCGCGCCATTTGAGCAGCTGCTGCAGCGACTCCTTTCTCCGTCAAACGATGACAGAGGCGAGGCCGAGCGCATATTTTATCTCTGCAAGCAGCAGCCTGACGCTCTCGTTCTCCGCCTCGTCGCGGCGCTGCAGTCCTCCGCCGCAGGAGCGGACGTGCGGACGATTGGCGCGGTGCTCCTTAGACGAGTGATCACGAAGGACAGCGTGTCGCTATGGCCGCAGCTGAGTCCCGCGACGCAGGCGACCGTCAAGACTGAATTGCTCGCTAGTGTGCAGAGGGAGCCTACTAAGGCGATTTGGAAGAAGCTGTGCGACACGATCGCGGAGCTCGCGGCGGGGATCGTGGAGTCGGGGACATGGCCGGAGCTGCTTCCGTTCATGTTCCAATGCGTGTCGTCGTCCGACGACCGGCTCAAGGAAGCATCGCTGCTGATCTTCGCGCAGCTAGTGCATTTCTTCCAGTCGCAGCTTAAGCCTCACTTGCCCACTCTACACAATGTGCTTCTGCAGTGCCTCTCGCAGTCAGCCAATCCAGATGTGCGTATCGCCGCGCTCCGTGCGGCTGCGAATTTCGTCGAGGCGCTCGAAACTCCCGAGGAGCTGACGCAATTCCAGGATTTGCTGCCCGGAATGATGCAGACGCTGAATCTGTGCCTGCAGAGCAAAGACGA